GATGATACGGTACCTCAGTTCAGTTGCATCCCAAGACCCCCGACATCCGAAACTCGCCCTCCAAACCCCAAAACTCTCTACATCGAATTCCTACTCCTCCAGGAAATCAGTGACTTCTCCAGGCTAGGCTTCTTCCTGTTCCAGACCAACTTTGGAAATCCAAATTCGCCAAACCCGTGCCCTAGATCCTAAACCCTGTCTGAAATGTATCGGGTACGAATTCTAAACGGGCAGGCTCCAATACTCCTTTCTTCAGGCTGCTTCGATGAGACTAGCGCCCAGGGACCCGCGTATGATTTTTTGTTTGGGCTTTAGGGTCTGGGCTTCATACCTAGGCATGAAGGGATATTGAAGTCTCTTCGAAGAGCCTGCAGACCCTAAACCCTAATCCCTTAAACCCTAAATCCTAAACCCTAAACCCTAAAGGGCCTTTGTAGTTGACGGCAGAGCTCATGCGCTTGTGAGTTCCGGACACGGGTGTGGAATCTCCTTGACGGCTCAGGGTGTACTTGGAGGTTCATGGGTAGTTAGAACTGGAGCTGCAAGTAAGGTTCATAACCTTGTTTAGGGCACGTTTATCTCTACTTAGAACTGCCAACTACTACCCATGGCCGTTCAAGTAGGGTGTTTGGGGCCAGAACAACATAGTGTAGCCGCCGACTCAAGGGGGGTCGCCCATAACAACATTGACAACCCTGAGCCCCAGACTTACGTCCTGAAAAACTTCAACTTAAACCCTTAAACAGTTAAACCCTTACACACCCTTACACCCTTACACCCTTAAATCCTTAAACCCTTAAACTCGTAAACCCCTAAACCCGTAAACCCGTAAACCCGTAAATCCTTAAACCCTTAAACCCTTAAACCCTTAAACCCTTAAACCCTTAAACCCTTAAACCCTTGAACCCTTGAACCCTTGAACCCTTAAACCCTTATACCCTTAAACCCTTAAACCCTTAACCTCAACCTGAACCCCAGCGCCCAGAGCTCCGAGACCCTGGAGGAAAGAACATTCATTACATCGAAGATGCTTTCTCTCTTGGCTGAGAGTTTTGGGGCTTTTTGCTTGATTTACGAATCTTGGGGGGCCCTTGGAGCTCTGCATGTGTGACCCGACACTTCCTTTAAACTATCTAGTCTTCCAAGGCTTACGAGTAGCTCCTGAAGCAAGTGATGAACAAACACGATACAAACCAAACCCCTACCCCCATGAACCGCTCTCGTGCCACACTGCATGTAGACTCGCTTGGTTGAGGGACCAAAGGAGGGACACTTTTTCGGGAGCTTAGGGGTTCTGGAGGGGCTATTTAGGGGCTACTTGGGTCTATAGGGTCGATGTAAGGGCTATATAGGGGAACAACCTTCTAGGAAGCAAGCCCTCAGAAGGATTCGGGGCTTGAGACGGCTTGTCAAGGCTTTTTTTTGGCTGAAACTTTTTGAACGTTTAGGATTCCGGGTTCAGGGCCATATCTGCCAGCTGACCCGATCTGCTGGCAAGGTCGGTGGTTGGGTTCGACTTTGCCTCACATCGGCGAGCAGGCTTTGGGCTCTAAACCCTAAAACCTAAACCCTAACCCTAAACCCTAAACCCTAAACCCTCAACCCTCAACCCTCAACCCTAAACCCTAAAGGCTTGAGCATGCCTGTAACTCTGGCTCCCTACGGCTGCTGTTTTGGCAAAGGCTTCCCTAGTTGCTGAGTACCCTGACCCAAAACAGCTTGACCTTTCAATCATGGTAGCATTGTATATACCCCCAAGAGGCTAAAAGGCTATCTACTCAGCTACTATGCTTCCATGGCCGAGTCATCTTCAAGACTGCACATCTCAACCCTCTGCGCTACACCCCCACAGCTAGAACTTCGAAACCGTCTAAACCCTAAACCCTAAACCCTAAACCCTAAACCCTAAACCCTAAACCCTAAACCCTAAACCCTAAACCCTAAACCCTAAACCCTAAACCCCAAACCCTAAACCCTAAACCCTGAACCCCGTAGACCTCCTAAAGATCCTAAGGCCTAAACCCTAAACCCCCGGATTGCGAGTGAGGGAATCTACTTGTTATTACCAGTAGGATGAGAAGTAGGATAACTCCAATCAAAAAGAGGGACTTCTTGGTGCACTGACAACTCGACGTTAGTACCCGTCAAGCGTGGTGTCACCAAGGTGAGGGGCTCGGGGACGCTGTGGGAAAAAATGCTCAATCCGAGCCCTCCTAAAACCTGAGCTCTGGACACCAAACAAACCTTTCCCTAAACCCTAAACCCTAAACCCTAAACCCTAAACCCTAAACCCTAAACCCTAAACCCCAATCCAAACCCCAAACCCTAAACCCCACACCCTAAACCCTAAACCCCAAACCCCTTCTGCTGGCCTTGACTATGGGCCGAGACCTTGGCGAGTCCAGCGAGTCCTCTTCCCACTGGTCCCCCAAGGCCTGAGATCCGAGGTTTCGGGGAACCCTAAACCCTAAACCCTAAACCCTAAACCCTAAACCCTAAACCCTACTGCAAACCCTCAACCCACGGAGCTGTTAGCCATCAGGGCTCAGGGTTCGTTTCCGGGTTCACCGTGTATGTTTGCGCTTGGGTTTAGGGTTTAGGGTTTAGGGTTTAGGACTTAGGGTATAGGGTTTAGGGTTTAGAGTCTAAAGTTTAGGGTTAGGGGTTTAAGGCGCAGAGATTAGGGTTTCGATTCTCAGCGTCTAACGCAAGGAGGGCGAGGAACGAGGGAGGCGGATTCGAGGGCGGGGGTGCGGTTATGTTGCTTATGAAATTGCTGGGACGTGCTGCATCGTACCCCCCTTCCGGAATTGCCATCTAGACATAAGCGTCTGGGGAGTGTGAGTGCTTTAGTGCATGGTAGCGGATGTTATCCTGACTCTACAGGCCTATGTGGCGCTCGAGCACATGGCCCCTGTGGAAACAAGCTCCCCGAAACCCTTCCCAGGCTGCGGTTTAAAACTTACGCTTAAGGCCAGAAGTCGAAGTCGAGACTGCTTGGGTGCCATAACAAGTCATAACTTCCTGAATTACTCACAACTGCCCGTAAACCTCCAAGCTCTACTGAACCCCAACCCTAGACCCTGACTCTTTAACCCCCTGCGCCAAGATGCGCAGTTGAAAAGTGCGGCCTCAGTGCCCAACATGCGCGAGTCGGGGAGGCGTGCAAGGTAAGGAAGGTAAGGAAATGAGTAGGGAAAATGAACACATCCCGAACAAAAGCTTTGTAAACCCTAAACCCTATACAGGGCGTGCTATCTCCGCTTGTCTCACGCACTCTTGACCCAGCCAGTGCACTCTTTGCTTGCGACTGTAGCATCGGGGAAGGCGGAATGTGTCGAGCTCCATTGATGAGGGCATGACTGTGCCTGGAGAGGGTCGTACGTAGGTTTCGGGGACGGAGATCGGATGACGGCTGACTTCCAGCTCACCTCGACTAGCCCCTCAACACAGGACCATTTTTTTTTATCTAACCAATCACCCTAACTCCCAAACTCTGAAGCCAGAGGCTCAGGCCTACTCCCTGAACCCTAAACTCCCTAAACTCCCTAAACCCTAAACCCAGATCTTGGGCCCTCGCCCCGCAAGATGCGGCTGGTTCAGGCCCTTGCCGGTATCGACCTGTATCAGTCTCGGGACATCAGATGCTGGGATTTCAGGGGCTGTAGGTGTTAAGGCTTTTGGGGCGTTTAGGGTTTCAGCATATTGGCCTTTCCGTCGGCTGCCAGAAAAGAGGCGGGTAAGGGCATCTACGCAAATCTGGAGAACTCGAACCCTGTGGCAGGCACAGGCTCAGGTTGGCTGCTAACCTAAACCCTAAACCCTAAACCCTAAACTCTAAACCCTAAACCCTAAAACCCCTTCTTGGTCGAGGATGGTTGTGAAGTGGGCGGCCAAACCCTGAACCCTAAACCTAAAGAACCCTTCTGAGAGGAACCATGCAAGTTGCTGCGGGATCTCAGAATTATGTTAAAAATAGAAACCGGATCGTAGTATTGTTATTCTTCTTAGTATTATTACTACTATATATCTTATTACCTGTGTTTTTGTAGGGGAGCGGGTTGTAAGGGATAAAGGCAAGAAGCAGCTTAACAAAAGGAGGGAGTGTAAATCCAGCTTTTGGGAGGTTAAAGGGTTCAAGGTTCAGATCTCAGGGTAGTTACATGGTCCCTACATCAGAATCTTTGCAGAGGGTAAGGGACATGGAAGGGCCCATGGAGGGCCCCCTAAACCCCGAACTCCAAACCCCAAACCCCAAACCCTAAACCCCAAACCCCAAACCCCAAACCTCAAACCCTGAACCCCAAACCCCAAACCCTAAACCCTAAACCCCAAACCCTACACCCTAAACCCCAAACCCTAAAGCCCTAAACCCGGCCTAACGGCGCCGAAGCCGTGCTGCTGCCGAGGGCGACTGTGCGGTCTCGTGCCGCATCTCCCTGAACCTGCGGGTCGCGGGTTTCGGGTTTGGGGTTATAGGGTTATAGGGTTTAGGGTTATAGGGTTATAGGGTTATAGGGTTATAGGGTTATAGGGTTATAGGGTTATAGGGTTATAGGGTTATAGGGTTATAGGGTTATAGGGTTATAGGGTTTAGGGTTTAGGGTTTAGGGTTTAGGGTTTGGGGTTTGGGGTTTAGGGTTTAGGGCTTAGGGGGCTATGGGGTTATGGGGTTGTGGGGTCATAGAGTGAGACGCGCATGTGCGTTGTAAGGGTCGCAAAGTTGGAGTTTAGGAGAAGTTCCGAGAAGACAGAGTGCAGAGTATCACGAGTTGCCCTTACAGATTCGGGATGTGTGTACCCCGAACCCTACATCCTGTTGTGGGGCGGATGGCCGGACCCAACACAGCTTGCCATGAGTGGACCACAATTCGGTTTCGATGTGCTTCTGGGGAGAACCACGCTCCAGCGATGTTTGTGCCCTTACGCCCCAGATGGGGATTTTCTGAATCAGTCTTTTCTTTTGCCATTGTTCGGAAGCCTTTTTCGTTCTCCTGTTTTCAGGCGCCCCTGCGAAGGCTCATGTCATCTCCTCATGTTGGCTGTTTCAGTGACTCACCGCCCTACCGAGACCCCAATTCCCCACAGCATATACTCTTGGGTTTCAGTCGCGAAAGGCAACGAGCCCCGAACAAAAATGCAACAGCCAGCCAAAGCCAGTAAAGAAAGTCTGGTATTGACCGAACATGAAACGATGCTGCTGGGTACTTGACTGGCGAATCAGATAGGCCAACTCGGACAGACTCAAAAGCCGCCCTGGCCAACACCTGCACTTGTTCAACCCTAAGCCTGAGGGCCCAACTACAATCGCGAAGGACCACCCGAAACCCCTTAAACTTCAACAAGCCTTAAGCAACTTCAACAAGCCTTAATAGCCTTAAGCCGTACATGGGTGTTGTTCTGGAAAAGCTTCCAACGGTACCTATGGTATTCCTCCTCCCCTCTCCTCCCCGGCTGTGTTGATGCCTTGCTCTGTTTCGGGTCACGCAGCTGCCATGCAAGCAGCCCCCTCAAAAAGTGCAGGGAGCCATCGTGCGAATCGAGCTGTCTTCGCACATGTGGAAGATTCGTCAAATGTTTGGAGGTTCCAGAGCTCCAATTCATACCATGAGAGGTCCCAATTTGTGAGGTCTTGGGGCCCTAAACTAGGGACTATTGGGCCGGGACTTTAAACCCCAAGAGCACCTCTCAGCGTTTTCCACCTCACCGAAAGATGTTCCAATATCGAGGAGCCCCACATTTAGACCGCCTAGCCTCCTCATTAGCCACAAGCACAAGAGAAACTTTGCAATTCTGCCACAGTAATGAACAGATACTGATAAGGAAACCCTGTCTAATTGCTTCATTTCATAAGTAAATTCACTACATGACTTCATTGTTCTCGTTAGCAAATCAAGCGCAAGCCCGCGACCCAAGGGGTTCCAAAATCGGCCCGGCAACCACGGAGCGCCCCGCGATGGGCAAATCCCCCGATGTTCGGCCTGCAGCTGGGCTTTGGGTCTAGGGTCTAGGGTCTAGGGTCTAGGGTCTAGGGTTTAGGGTTTAGGGTTTAGGGTTTAGGGTTTAGGGTCTAGGGTTTCGGGTTTAGGGAGAGGGCCCCATTTCAGTCGCAGAAGCCTACTAACCTAAGAGGCCACACATGCTTATACCAATGCTGCTGGTTTGGCAGGCTTCGGCACCTGCGGTTGCTGTGGCCCTATACCCTAGGCAAGAAAACTAAAGTAGATCCCTTTCAACCCAGTTGGGGCTGCAAAAAAGTCACAAAGTCCTACCTAATTAGCTGCGTACAGAGAAAATGACAAGTTGTGGAGAAACAGTGCCGTTGAAATCTGGAACATACCTTCACAACTGTATGGGGATCCTTGTATTGAATCAAGCACATGTCCGACGTGGAGGTGCATTGGGCTGAATAAGTTCTCGACTCAGCAAGAACTTCAACAAGGGTCCATGTACCTTTATATTCCAATACGTATTTGGGCTTTGAAGTTCATAAACCCTTCACCTCTGAACCCCTAACCTGAATCCCCCAATCCCGAAACCCCTGAACCCGAACCCCGAATCCCCAAACCTAAACCCTAAACCCTCAACCCTAAGCCCTAAACCCTAAACCCATGAGCCAAGGTGCTCTGAATCGGCAGTGCGCAGGAGCCGCTCCGCGCACGGATTGGCAGTCCCAGAGGCGCCGAGGCCGTTGCATCTGCCAAGGCTTATACTGGATCCGAAGTATGGGCCCTTAATTTGGGTCCCCTGTTATATAACCTGTATACACACTATACGTAATTAAGGCCCATACTCCGTTTAAACAAGGGTAAGGGACGATACTGAGGGCCCACGGTTCCAACCTTAGATTGAGGGTTTGGGCTGGTGGGTTTAGGGGGTTTCATGGCTTCTTAGAGCTTCTAAGGGGTTTAAGGGCTAAGGGGCTTATACTCAAGCGCTTCGAAGGGCTCCAGGTCAAGTTTTCTATCTACGACTCGGAGTGACTACGGCTGTTCAACTGCTTGGGCTAAGGGCTCAGGCTCTGGAGGCCTAAATCCTGAATTCATGAACCCTAACATTAGCAGAACCAAGGGTAGCTTGAGTGGGGTCTACAAGGGAAGCAAGCAAAGGTTAGGGGTTGAGGTTTGGGGTCCATTTTGGAATGAGCTAGGCTTCATGTTTGGCCCCTTTTTCGCAAGAAGAGGGGCTCTGTTGCCCGTCGATTTGATAAAGGACTGTACAAGGCACCGCAACGCCGCTACCCATAGTGGCCTACGCATACCTCATCGCGGAGTTCCTTAGGGATGGAGGTCTTCCCGCTCACACGAACAAGCAGAGTTGCGGTGTTGAAGTCTGCCCAAGGTCCCAAGAGGTTTAGGTTTCAGGTGCTGTTGTCTCTATTTGGCCCTGGCAGGTGGGACTCGGGTTAAAAAGCTCTAGGGTCTAAGGTGTACGGGTGAGGGCTACAGGGCAACCCAAAACAACCTTGGTAGCCCAGTAACCACAATAATGGCAATTTTTTGTTGGCTACTTTATAAGGGAACCCAAAGCCAAAAAAAAGGCAAAGGGTACCACTGGGCTACCAAGCAACAAGGATGCTTCTCGACTTTTGGGGACAATCTCGGGGGTTGAGGTCTTGTGCTTTGATAAGTTTGTCCGGCAAGCACCCGGCCAACACGCAGATACTAGCTCCAACGGAATCCACCAGGGAAGTGGGTACCTTGTCCCATTTTGCATAACCTTTAAGGGAGTATGTCGGAGAACCGAATTCCCTAATGCCCTACGAGGTCGAGATGGAGGCTTGCGGGCTTGGGTTGAGAATCTAAACTTAGGGTTGGCGTTTTAGAGCTTAATGTGCAGGGTCTAGAGTGGGCTTTGGGCGTTAGGCTTGAGCTTTAGCTTTTAAAGCTCAGGAGTGAAGTAGTGCGGGGTTCAGCGTCATTAAAGGGATTGGTGCCAAGTTTGTTCTTCAGTTTTCACTTTGTAAATATGTTTCTGTATAACAATATGACCATGTGTATAGATAGATATATGGACACTTGGCACGTGCCGCGCTTAGCACGGCGCGCCGCGTTGGCACTCGGGACCTTTTGGGCGTCCATGCCAGCATGGACTCTCAAAGGGCGGAGAACTCCGCAAAGATTCGAGTTCTGCTGACTCTGATACAGCAACGCAGAGGCCTTAAACCACCAACCCCCCCCCGCCCCCCTTGGAAGTGAATCCAGAACCCTTAAAGGTCCTGGGTAGCCCTGGGTAGCCATCTTATGATAAGGGTACCGCTTTCTTGGGGGGGCTGGTTACTATTATACAAGGGGATACCTAGAACCCCCCCCAAAACGGGCAAAAGGGTACCACTGGGCTTCCAATGCGTCCTACCCCTACTTTGGAGAAGACCCTGGAAAACATGTACATACTTTTTAGGCAAAAGTAGCTCTAATAGGAACCCAGAGCCAAAAACAAAAAAACATTAACGTACATAAGTGTAGCACTCCAAAACCCAGGAGTTACCAAGGAGTCCCTAAACCCTAAACCCTAAACCCTAAACCCTAAACCCTAAACCCTAAACCCAAGGAGCCCTACACTCCGGGACCAAAACATCGGCCGTTCATCAGCAGCGTTGCGCCGTCGAGGATGCCGTAGTCCAGGAGCGACCGTTCATCCTCGAGCCGCTTGCCGATGTAGGTCAAGTAGTAAGCATCACTTGCAATCCTTGGTTTAGGGATTAGGGTTTAGGGTTTAGGGTTTAGGGCTTTGGGTAGTAGGCATCACTTGCAATCCTTGGTTTAGGGCTTAGCGTTCAGGGTTCAGGGTTTGGGGCTTAGGGTAGTAAGCATCACCTGCAATCCTTGGATTGGTTTAGGGCCTCAGGGTTCATGTTTTTTTGTAGTAAGCATCACTTGCAATCCTTGGATTGGTTTACGGCCTTAGGGTTCAGGGTTGTGGGTTTAGGGCTTAGGGTTCAGGGTTGTGGGTTTAGGGTTCAGGGTTTAGGGCTGAGGGTTCAGGGTTTAGGGCTCTGACTCAGGGCTCAGGGTCCAGGGTTGTGGGTTTGGGGTTCAGGGTTTAGGGCTTCGGGTTTGGGTTTAGCGTTCAGGGCGCCCTTCAAACCTGGCTTTGAATCGGAAGCCCAGAATCTGAAATCGTCTTTAACTGCTCCGAGCCCTCTTTATATTTCTGCTACGTGCTGCATGGGCCTGCAAAGAAATTGACACCGAACGGTGTATCTCTGTGCCGGGAAGGTTTGAGATACTCGCCAAGTGCACTGGTCAACCTTACCAGTCGCCCTTTATTGTCGCCCGATCTCGGTACATCCCCCATTGAGCCGCTCTCGGTCGGTTTCCAAAGACACAAGCCTGACGTGGTCGAACAAGTCTCAGAAACAACCGTGGCGAACCGAACACACAAGAAGGCCACCTCCCCCGACAGAGGTGTGCACACTCTCTGGGCTCCTTTTCAACACTCGCTAGGAATGTTTTCTAAAGGAGAGACAATCGGCACAGTACCAGTTCACATTAAAAGGGGAAATGAGGCTACTGCTGTGAGTATCTGGAGTTCAAGACGTAGGGAATCAGGAGTTCTCGACCCAGGATATTAGGGTGTAGGGTTTACCGGTTTCGCGCCTCGGGTTGACCGGGGCTCCGGCCCAAGCCGGTGATTCAGGTTGTTCTGGTTCAGGGGTGTGACGCTAAGCATCTGGGTTTTCGCGCACAGAACGCGCTTGACGTCCGAAATGTGGCAGTCCAGCCCCATCTGGAGAACACGCATCGTGTCGGACAGGTCCCGCCTCGATTTCAAGGCCAAGGTTCAGGGCATTTCGGGCTTTTGACCGGGCTCGACTTCATCCCGAACCCCAACCGCGACCTGTTAAATGCAGCACATGTTTTCATGAGCTGCGTATGACATCTGTGCAGTACTTGTTCTACAAGGGACCCATGGGCCGGTCTACGGAGAAAATGTCCGAACGTTGGGTTTTGCGGAAGAAAGGGGGGACCCCAATTCTTTGGAAGCTCAGGAGTATGTAAAAAAGGCTGATGAAGCGGCCTTCACAGACAAGAAGGTGATCAGCTCCATATAGGGGATAGGATTCGGGGGGGACCACTGGGGATCTAGACCCTCGGAATAAGGGCCCCTGTTTAAGAGAGCCAGAAGAGGGCTAAGAGGGGTTCCCCTTTAGAAACCCTAAACCCTCAACCCTGAACCCTACACCCTAAACCCTGGGAACCTGGGCCCTAAACCCTAAACCCTAAACCTTAGATTAAGAAGTGTTCCCCTTTAAGGGCCCCACCTTATTCTACCTAGGAGGTCCATCGGAGGCGCACGAAGATCTGGACGTGGAGGGTCGAGGCTTGAGCAGGTGGGAGGTCCTCAGCATGGAGCAGGGGATGAAAAACCCTCAGCCCTAAACCCCCAAACCCTTTTGGGAAAACTCGTGCCTCGAGTAATGTGGTGGTGAAGGGGCTCCCCCCACCCCACCCCCCCCGGTGTTGTGGCGGTGGGTTTCAGTTTAGGGTTTGAGGGCTTCATGAGGGTGTGATGAGTTGGATGGCGGGTTTTTGTCAGCTCGCTATGGGAGGCAGTAGACTCAGCTGTAGACCCTACGACCTTACAGGACAACGTTAGGACTTTCAGGGTCTTGGTGTCGTCCGGGCGCCCATTCCAAAGTCACGAAATCCCTGCTTCTTCGGAATGGCGGCCCAAACCCTGACCCCGGAAGTCCACCCACCAACCCATAGGAGGGACCCTGAGCTTCAACTACCCTGGACCCTTAACCTTAAACGTTTTAAATCTGAGCTTGAACACGAAACCCTACACGCTGAGCTCTGGATGTCTACCCTTAAGCCGGTACGGTAGGCCCCTGCAAGCACTGCAAGCCCCCAAGCCACACACCCCAAAAATGCAGGGATTAGGGCTTCGGGTTTAGAGTGGGTTCAGGGTGCAGGGTTTAAGGTTCAGGGCTTAAGGTTCAGGGTATGGGTGTAGCGTTTCGGGGAGTTGGGCAGGGAGAAGCACTGAACCGTTAAGCTCTGCGCCCAGCCGTCTAGGCTTCCCGGCTTAGGGCGCTTTTGAGGCTCATCGGCAACAATATCGCTATAAGTAGGGTAGTTATAGTCGTAATTAAACGGTTTTGGCGTAGGTCTACGTATACCTGCCTTTGAACCTTCTCAAGTCGGGTTGAGGGCTTCGGTGGTTTGGCTTGCGTGGCTGCAGAAGGTTTGGGGACCCCGTGTCGTCACCTTCAGCAACTGCCCACCCCAACTGAACCCTAAAATGCCCTAAACCCCCTTAAAACCCCCTAAACACCCTTGAAACCCCTAAACCCCCTTAAAACCCTTAAAGCCCCCTTAAACCCGACAAGCATCTGCGTCGCTCGCAGGGGACTCCACCTCCATGAGCTCTGCGCTGTGATTCTGATGAAGCCAATTCTGAAGCCTTCAGCCAGGCATTTAGGGTTTAGGGTTTAGGGTTTAGGGTTAAGGGTCAAGGGTTCAGGTTTAAGGGTTTAGGGGTTAGCGTTTGGGTTCGACACCAATAATGCCTGCGCCACAAGGAAGCTGGACAACCTTCGCAAGAAACTGCGCGAAACACAAACGTCAACATCCAAAAACAACCTAGGCATTCCTAGCCCCTCAAACTCTAAACCCTACAGACGTCCACAGACTGTAGACCCCAAGTAAGCGTGAATTGTAGTGTTGAGGTCTCGTAGACTTAGTTAGGGCCGGGGTCTTACTTTGGCAGGTTTGTCGTTTAGTAGTTTAGTAGGGTTTAGGGTTTAGGGTTTAGGGATTTGGGTTTAGGGTTTAGGGTTTAGGGAGTTCGCTCTCATGATTTCCAACCTCCGATCTGCAAATCTCACTTTGTAGATCTCCATTGCAGTCCCTCCACCTTGGGGACGAAATGAACCTTAAAAATGGGGGGGTCATATACCCTACACTACTATAATCCCTATTGAGGTATGTGAACCATAAACCCTTTTAGGGCTCATTTCGTCCCCGAGGCAACTCAACATCAGTTCTATGTTTTGGGGTTGAGGGTTTCGGGCAGGCGGCCGCCCACACCTTGCATTCGGGCCCCTCTCAATAGAGATCGAGTCCCTCCGCCCCCACCCCCACGACCCACCAACCCCCAACCCGCACCTAGAGCAGGAGATGAAAGATTAAATCTCCAATCTCGCATTGTTACACGAAGCTGCAAGACAAACATCACCCTAAACCCTAAACCCTAAACCCTAAACCCTAAACCCTAAACCCTAAACCCTAAACCCTAACCCCGAACTCATCCGGAATGGTAGGACAGCGAGGTGACATGTGCGCCACTTGCCAGCGGAACTGCCAGCCCAGCACCATGCTTGCGTCCTGCGCTAGCCGCACCATCGACCCGGAGCCCCTGTTATCTTGCTCACTTCGCAGGTCACTCATGAGCCTTATATACAAGGGACATGTAACATATGTACCTTGACGATCGGAATATCCGATCTCTAGCAGCGTATAACCCCTTTAAGTCCCTAAACCCCAAGCCCAAAACCCTCAAGCCCAAACCCTCAACCCTCAACCCTAAACCCCTAAACCCCTAAACCCCTAAACCCTCAAACCTAAAAAACCCCAAACTTTAGGTTTCCGGTGATGCAGGTCGGTCCCCCAAGCGCCGCCGCTTCGGAGCCTCTCGGAGAATCAGCGTGTGGGGCCCACGACGTGACGAGAGTTAAAGGTTCAGGGTTTAGGGTTCAGGGTTTAGGGTTTCGGGCTTAGGGCTGTACCCCTAACTTCTGATTCAAGGACGAGAGCAGTTTGCATGAAGCAGGCCTGTCCTTTGGGGCATGGACTGCCGTTGAACGAGGTTGTCTTGAGACTGTCAGGTCTTCGATTTTGAGCCTATTGCCCAGTTTGGAGGTCCAGGGCGAATGCATTCACACCGTTTGAATCGCCATATGCCATAAACCCTAACAGAGTCGTACACGACGGGGCAGGATCGAGTGCGGGGCCAATTTGGTCATTTCTGTTTGCTGGTGACATGCCTCTCTCTCTCTTCTCTCTCTTCTCTCTCTTCTCTCTCTTCTCTCTCTTCTCTCTGTTCTCTCTCTTCTCTCTCTTCTCTCTCTTCTCTCTCTTCTCTCTCTTCTCTCTCTTCTCTCTCTTCTCTCTCTTCTCTCTCTATTGAGACAGCTGTGGGCTGAAAGGTCCAGGTACGGGCCAGAAAAAGGGCTTGGGGGGTCAAAGGGGTCTCACTGTAGTCGCAGAAGGTCCATGTATATTCTAGAAGCTTACGCCCGAAAGAGCTCATGAAGGTACTACTTTGGGGCGAGCGGGGGAAAAAAGACAAGGGACTGTGAGGTTGGAATCTCTGGGGGTAGGTCCATGTCCCCTCAGTATGGGCCCTTCAAAGGGGGACACCTTACATACACCCCAACGACCACTTCAGAACCCTTTAAAAAGGGCAAGGGACCATATTAACGGACAATACAACTACCCTCAGAGAGTCTCTGGTACCCCACATGGGAGTTTACAAACATAACTGACCTTTTTACATACCCCCAAATCATTCTCTTATAAGAAGGACCCCAACCCTACACCCTAAATCCTAAACCCCTCATATAACAAAGCCTATCCCTCCAACCTCCTCTCGGTCTTGAGGAAGCCATGGATGGACAAAGGATGGCCGCCGGCATGCGGCGTCCATGACTGCGCCTTTGACTACCGTGTCGGCTCCCGATTGGCTGAAAAGACGTGTTGCTTAGATACCCTAAACCCTAAACCCTAAACCCTAAACCCTAAACCCTAAACCCTAAGCCCGGAACCCCTAAACCCTAAACCGATTCGGCTTGGCCCACTTCCTGTAGCCCCGCTGCGTGTGGCCATTCTCTACTAAGAGAAACTCGTCACACTGCTAGGTATAAACTCCCCTTGAACCATGCGCTGTTTTGTCCATGGTGTCTCTGTGGTCTTCAACATCTACATCTACACACACATATGTATATATATATATATGTGTTACATACATCTGTGTGGGAACCCTAAAGTAAACGCTCAGTTCGAAACCCTACTGGATGAGCGGGGGACTTGGGATTTGGGGAGAAGCTGCTGGCAAATGTCGTTTCAAATGCTCGTGGCGGCTCGAGGATCCCCGTGCGGTGCGGCGACAGTTGGGGGGTTCCTCAGAACATCCGAAGTATGGGGCCCTTAACTGAGGTCGCTTTGAATCCCTGTAAAGAAGGGTAAGGGACCATACTAAGGGCCCATGGTACCAACCTTAGAGAGTCCTCGGGGTGTTTAGGGGTTTACGGGTTTAGGGGTTGATGGTTCTGGTTCTTTGACACTCATATGGGGGTTTCCGAAAAGAGTACCCTTTTGGGGTCCCTGTAGAAGGGGTTTCTATTCCATTTTGGTGTATGAAGGGGTACCCCTATTTTGGGAAATACCTATCTGGTCAGATAGTTTGGTCAGTTACGGGGTCCTCAGGGTCTGTAGGGGTTTAGGGGTGGGGGTTCTGGGCTCTCTGGGACTCATGTAGTTAGAAGTGGGGCTATAAGTGGTTAAGGTAATTACTTTGTTACTTAACAACCTTATGTAGAACTTCCCATGAACCTTCAAGTATGGACCCTTGAAAATCAGAGCCCCGAATTTAGATCACAACCCAATTTGGCCGCCCGCACCTACTGAGTTGGCATTGTTGTGCATCCGGGGGGGGGGGGGGGGGGGGCGCTTGCAGAAACTTTTAGTAGCAGAACTTCTTGTAAAGGCCACCGAAAAATGAAGAAGAAGAAGAAGAATAAGAAGAAGAAAAAGAAGAAAAAGAAGAAAAATAATAATACAATAACAGCAAAAGGAAGAATCAGAAGAAGGGGAGGGTTCAACACACACTCCACAGGATTTAGAGATGTGTTTACAGGTTTTGGGCTTTGTGATCCCCAGAATAACTTCTCGGCGTCTCTACTCTATTCCCCAGAGCTAGAGCGAATTGCTCAACCCCTACTTACAACCCATCCCCCATCGGGCACCAAGCCCCCCGGCCTCTTGCCACCGGCTCACTTGCGCTGGGTGCCCTCGGCTGCAACATTTTGGGCTTTCAAGCATTCAAAGGGGGGAAGCTGCAACCTCAACCCCTTCCTTTCTGTCACTTCAACCGGGTGCACCGCGAGCACTCGAAGCCTCCAATTGGGTAACCGTTAGAGCCAAAACCCAAAACCGCAAAACACGAGCTCTGACTAGGGTTTATCAGCCCCTGGGCAGAGCAGGGTGCTATTTGACCTTCTGTGTGATGCTCCTCCAGGTGTGGGGCTTCAGCGGCTTAAGTTCTTAACCCGACCCCCCCCCCCCCCCCCCCCCCCCCCCCCCCCCCACAAAAAAACCATGAAAGAACAAAAACGAAAAACACACACACACACAAACAAAGTCGTAGCCACACATGCTGTATGCCTCATGCCCCATTCCCGAAATCGCTCTGCCTTAAATTCTCATGCCCCTGCACCCAAAAGGCTCGTTTTTCTGGTGGTCTCGGGCTTAGTGCCCAGGGGTTCAAGAAGATCAGCCCTGCAGGAGGGGTTGAGGGGTCCCTACTTGGGAGTCCTTTCCAGACAACGCCTGTATATTTTCTGGACTTAAGAGTCCAAAACAAGAAACCCCGAAACCCGAAACCCGAAACCCGAAACCCGAAACCCGAAACCCGAAACCCGAAACCCTAAACCCTAAACCCTAAACCCTAAACCCTAAACCCTAAACCCTAACCAGAATTTTGGCAGGCTCAGGGTCATGGAATGTAGGGCTTCCAACGAGCGACGATGATTTGGAGCAGTGCTTTCATAGGCTTCAGCAACTCCACTTTTCACATCCTCAAAGGGTACCTTGTTTGTGCTTAATGGGTTCATGTTTAGGGTTTGCCGTTCTGTTCTGCTCTGACGATGCAAGATCCCTAGCGCGCACCTGAATTCTAACATGCAGGTCTAGGGTTTAGGGTTTAGGGTTTAGGGTTTAGAGTTTAGGGTTTAGGGTTCTACAAGGGACCCTAACCTAGAATGAGAAGGGTACCACTGGGAACCTAGAACAAGAAGGGTACCACTGGGCCTCCTAGTTTTGTGGTGCTTCTCCACGCCAGCCGAGGTGCGCTTCGCTGGCGCTCCGGGCTTTGATGGGCAGAAGGAAGCCGCCGGATGAACCTCAGCCACTGTTGGAGTCATACCCACCTAGGCTGCCCAGTAACCCAGGTTTAAAAAGGGTGCCCTTTTTTGCTTAAAGGGGTTTATAAGGAAACCTAAGCCTCCCAAAAAGGGAATAAGGGTACTACTGGGCATCCTAGCCACTGAGCTGTTGCTCCTCTGGGGTTCGAAGTAAAATTAAGGACCAGAACCTCGTTTGGGGGAAGGGTTTTAGGGCTGATGTTGCTTGTGAACATGCCCAAACACATGCATGGGTTGGCCTGAAAACTCCGAAACCTGAGAAGTAGACTACCTAGACCCTCTTAATCCTAAGTCCTAAATCCCATACACCTGTAAATATAGACCTAAGAACTAGACCCTCTGTAACACCAAGGGATCTCAAATTGATTGAACCCCTACATTGGCCCTGCAGAACGGACTCCATGATACTCAAAACTTTCGCTAGAATGGCCTTGGACAACCCAGGGTGTAGGCTTGTGGTTCAAGGGCTCCTCCTTCACTCACAGCTTCTTGGTGTGCTCCGAAACACGCAGAGAGTGGTCCAAACTTAGCTCTGCTCTACTACTCCTTCCATTGCCCCATCAGCCACCTTGCCACCCCCTTCCACCTTCAACCCCTCCCCACTCCCCAATCCCTGCCACCTCTACCACCTTGATCCTCACCACTCAGAACGCTAAAGAACATGGTGAAGGAATTGGTATCGACTGAGTCACACAATGACAACCATGAGTTGTGGCCTTCGGCTTGGTAGCTTATCCCCTCCCCCAGAAGTAAACCCCCCCCCCCCAACCCCCCAATATCCCCTCCCCCAGAAGTAACCCCCCCCCAACCCCCTAATTTTAAATATTCCATACACCATAATACAGCAACAATGGGAGTCTTTCATTTTCGCATAGGGGGGTTTTTAAATTTGGGGGAGGGGATTCTTGGTCCGAACCCGGAAACAACCTGTGCAATCTCTGAGGCTATGGACAGCTCGCCGGCACCATCAAAGCCTTGCGCGGGATGGGGCTTGGGGTTTTAGGGCAACATGCCGAAGCCTAAACCCAAACGCAAGCTCTTCTCCCACTCTCTCAACCGCCTAATCTGCCCTTTGAAGCTCCATGTTCTGGTGTCCTAAGATTGTGGCTAGGGATTTGGGGTGTAGGGGTCTACATAGGTGCTTGAGGTCTCTAGGGTTTAGGTGCTTGGGTCTTTAAGGTTTAAGGTTTAACATGTAATTAGGGGCCATTTGACCCCATGCAACAAAAAAAGGCCTCACGGCGTTGGAAACAAGGACATTAACATGCAACACCCTCCGATTCGAGTTTAGGGTCTGGGGCCCAGGCCTGATAGCCCTGCATAATTATCGTTTAGAGCTTTGATGGTTCTATGTTTTGTGGGGGTACGCGGGGAGGGGTTCGGTGACCTTAAACCTTTAATCCTAAACCCTGAACCCTAAGCCTTCGCTGAACCCTAAACCCTGAACCCTAAACCCTGGACAAAGAAAGCGGGTGGCCTCTGGTTGACGCCGCATGGGCAGTGGCAGGGACAATGGCGAGGCCGTGCTGCCTTGCACAGCCAGCGTACGTAACCCACCCTTAGCAGCCCCCCCCCCCCCCCCCAAACCTTGAATTTTTAGGGTGCAGCAAATTATCTATTTAATAGACACTCTCACTCTCTCTATCTCTCTCTTTTTCTCTCTGTCTCTCTCTCTTTCTCTTTCTCTCTCTCTCTCTCTCTCTCCCTCTCCCTCCCTCCCTCCCTCTATCTATCTACCTATATATATATATATATGTACATACGTATTTATACATGTGTATATGTATATATATATATATATATATCTGTATGTATTCTAGAGGTCAAAACTTTCTAGGTTAATAGAGTCAAGCTAGTTCTGTTCCTGCTCAAACACTGAAGGCCTTTTGTGGTCTAAGGTACAGTAAGCAGACCTCTCCACAAGCAACCCTGCACCATATCAAAACAGAGCAACTTTATAGAAGACATGCGGGGTTCTCTAAATTAGGGTTTCTTGTGGGGTTCCCCTTATAAGGCGACCCCTAATGTTCAGGGTACCAACAGGACCAGAATTCATATAAGGCACGTTTGCCTTGTAGGGTTCACCTAGCACCCTGCTAGCCTACAGCTTTACGGAGTAGACCGACTAAGCAGCTGCTGCAAAGGCTGCAGGAGAAGGAGAGGACTACCTTGATAACCATTGAGCCCACACCCTTTGACCCTTTAACCCTAAACCCTAAACCCTAAAACCGCGGTTACAGCCTGGGTGTTGGGGCTTTGCGTTTCGGGTTCAGGGGTCCCTGGGTTTGAGGGGTTTTTCTTTTTTTGGTCGGGGGTTTGGCAAACGACTCGGTCTCTAAGGCTTGGGGAGTAGGGTTGAGGTTGCTAACCCAAAAAGGTTTCCGGTTTGGGGTTCGGGCCATCGTGTGGTCTCGGCTACGGTAGGAACTTGGAACTTTTCAGCTACGTACCTTACCCCCTTGAGCTCCGCACTTGTTTAGCCTTGCAGGCGAACCTGAAGTTTGGCTTAAATTTAGGGTTTTGGGTGTTCAGTTCAGGAGGGCTGAGAGCTTAGGGTTTTGCCCCCAGTTTGGTCAGGAAGAGGACCTAGGCTCATGGATCCGCTGCACGGCGTCACGGAGGAGCCACACGCTGGCCGACAGGACCTTCAGTCTAGACCGCACGAACAAAGGGTTTAGGGTTTTGGGCTTTCAGGGCTTTCAGGGTTTAGGTTCCAAGTAGAGTAGTCCTATGTAATTACTGCGCTGGGCCCATATTGCGACCTAACCAAATTCAAGAACTTTACCAATGCAATCCCCTCCTCCACGCAGGCTCCTGGGGCAAATGAGTCTTGGGGCCTTCTCCGGAATAGAATACTGCAGGTATCTTGTGACGCTTTCTGTGTATATATATATATAATTATGTATGTATGGTCAATTCCCAAAATTATGGTCCGGTGCCCCCCGCCGAAAAAATAACCCTTAAAAGGGAATGTTGAACAAGTGACCATAAAAAGCAACCATTTCTCCGATAGCCACTACGCCGCAGGAGTCTGTATAGGGTTTAGGGTTTTAGGGTTTAGGGTTTAGGGTTTAGGGTTCAGGGTATGCTAGATATCAAGCCCTGCGGCTCTCGAAACGTTTGGCCCGGGGATACATTGTACTAGAAACCATCCTAAGGATGTACCCCTAAGAGGTTCCCTGAATATGCTCCTAACATGGCCCTTCTATTCCCTCTCATAGGAAGGGAGTAAACAAGTGTGGACCTTCTCGGTTTCTTTATGGTAAATAAACTCAGGTAAGATGGTTCGAGATGATCTCGGCACAGGGTTCAAAAGCACCAAAGGGTGGTTGATCCTCGTGCCTGTTCCCCAAAACACACCCCAAAAACCCCAACCCCCAAAGCCTAAACCCTAACCCTCCTCCATATTTCCCTTACAAGCGCGCAATGTGAACCCTAAACCCTAAACGCCCTAAACCCTAAACCCTAAACCATAAACCATAAACCCTAAACCCGTGGGTGTGAAGTCTGCTTTAGGGTTTGGCGTTGTCTGTCGAAGTGGCGCTGTTGTGGAGCTGGCCACGTCGGAGGAAGCGGAGCTGCTGCCTTTTGAGCCTGCCGGCCAGATTGAGGGTTGAGGGTTGAGGGTTGAGGTTTGAGGGTTGAGGGTTGAGGGTTGAGGGTTGAAGGTCGAGGGTTGAGGGTAGCTAGTGGAATTCGAGGTTTTTATGTAGGCTTTGCCTATAGTAACCCTATTGCACCTCAACACATGAACAGCCTCTGGCCCGAAACAACGCACCGTTCCTGCTGTCTTGGCCACATTGGTTACTAAAGGTGGTCAAATCTCTTTTCGGCCCCTTCGATGATGGCCGAAATACAGAAGAACCGTCTTATTATAGGAACCCGCAAAGTGGACCATGAATGAGAGAACTGCTCAGGTGAGGTTGATGAGTTCAAGGTTCGGGGTTATAGGCTTATAGGTCCAGGGTCTACCGGTTAGCCAAAGGGCCCAATGCCCTTCAATCAAGGAAGGCATAACCAGAGTATCCTTTCATATCCTTAAAGAAGGGAATGGACCAAGAGCTCTGATTCTAAGGGACAAAGGTTTCTCTGGGTCTTTTGCTGAGTTGAAAGGTAGTGGACTTTCCACTACAGGCCATCATGAATGAGTAAAGAGAGTAAGCCAGATGGGTTTCACACAAGCAGCTGCCCTTGTGCGGAGGGACCTGTCGATTCGGCAAGAAAGCTACAACTCACCCAGCAACTGGGATACTTGCAAGGCCTTGCTGGTCTTCCCGGTTGTCTTGAAGTGCTCTAACTCTAAGTCAAAATGCAAGACCCTACACGCTCCCTTGAGCAACCCCCGAAGAAAAGCTGACCCACAGCTTACTGTAGAGCCCCGCAAAGACCCTCAAAGGAAGAGGTAGCTTGAGATGCCTCACTCCTGCATGTTTTCGGAGAATTGTCCTTGGGGCTCTGACCCACAGCATCAAACCCTCAACCGCCCTCAAGCTTCGAAAACCCTGAACCCCTGAAACCCTGAAGCCCCCCTAAACCCCAACCCTAAAGCCTAAAGCCTAAACCCTAAACCCCAAATCCCAAACCCAAAGCCCTGGAGCCTAAAGCCTAAACCCTAAAACCCTAAACCGCTGAGCCCGGCCGTGCCTGGCCCTTTGCAAACCAAGGAGAGCCCCGCTGAGTGGACCGCGTTGGCCTTGTCAGGGTTTTTCGAGTTTATAGGGTTTTGGGCTTTAGGGTCTAGGTTTTTGCGATTTCAAGGTGTAGGGTTTAGGGGTTCAGGGCTTAAGTTTGGGTTCCGGGTTCAGGGCTGAACCCACTACTCATCCTGCATCCCACAGAGCTGGAGACTGTCACTTCCTTCATCCACAACCCTAGAGGCTCTCACTGGGCCTCTGACGCATTCTGAGTTCAGGCTGAAAAGTTGGGAGAATTTGGGCCGTCTTCCGGAGTCAGAAGTCGGAAGTGATGAAGCTTTGGCTTAGGCCTGGGGGTTGCAGGCGTACAGGTACTTGCCTTGAGTAAACTGCTGAGCTGGCATCATTCTAAGTCTCTCTCTCTCATAAACCCTAAACCCTAACCCTAAACCCCAAACCCGAAACCCGAAACCCGAAACCCGAAACCCGAAACCCGAAACCCTAAACCCTAAACCCTAAACCCTATAAACCCTAAACCCTAAACCCTAAACCCTAAACCCTAAACCCTAATCCCTGTCCCTGTAGGCAGGATCTCAGGCCATTCTTTGGTCTAGCCGGTCTGGGGAGCGTGGGGTTTAGGTTTGAAGCATCTGCCAATGTCCACCTGGCGTGGACTCTGGTCAGCCATCAACAACCTCAAACCAGACTCAAATGAGGCCCTATACACCCTTAACTTGGGATGTTCCCCCTTATACTAACAGTCCTTACATGGGATTATAGTACCCCCCTACTATAATCCCGATTAAGGACTGTTAGTATAAGGGGGGAACATCCCAACCCAAAACAGGGTGGTTCTAAGTCGGTCTCAACAAACAGCTACCTGTCACTATGAGGGTTACCAGACCGACCCTATAGACCCTAAACCCTAAACCCTAAACCCTAAACCCTAAACCCTAAATAAACCCTAAACCCTAAACCCTAACCCCTAAACCCTAAACCCTAAACCCTAAACCCTAAACCCTAAACCCCAAACAAGGGGGACCACGAAGAAGCTTCGGAAGCGCCCCTCTGAACCCTGAGGGTAGGAGGGTTTAGGACACTTTGGCCCGACGTGTTCCTAAACCCGAAGCCCCTGAAGTTTAGGGTTTAGGGTTTAGGGGTTTAGGCGTTTAGGGGTTTCGGGGTTTACGGTTTAGGGGTTTACGGGTTTACAGGTTTAGGGGATTAGGGGTTAGGGAAACTTGCAACCGGAACCTCGTGGATTCGCAGGGCGTTGGGACCTGGGCGTTGGACAGTCTTGGGGGGGGGACTTGATTTCGGACTTCGGGGTGTTTAGGGTTTAGCCAAAGGCTCCTGTGTAGTACCTTTTTGGGGTGGAATACTAAAATCCCCTATAACTAACCCAAAAAAAGGAACTACATTGAAGCTTTTGGGTAGAGTTGGATGGGTTTTGAGGGGGGGATGGCGAGACCCTCGGTGTGGTGCAGCGCCGAAGCATGCAAGTGTTCCGGATGGTTTATAGCTGGGTGTGTAGACAGGTGGTTACCACCCTGGCCCTAATTTTGGGTTTAAGCTTGTATCCCCCAAAACTAAGATCCCCAAACCCTCAGTCCTGCTCATGAAAACCTTCAAACATGTGATTGATGCCCCAAAAAGGTTTGGTCACCTCAAACGCAAGTCTGCAAGATTTCCCACAAACCACACGCCCTTGCAACCCACCCACTGACCCCACCCCCCCTCCCCTGCTATTGGGGCCCTCCAATCAACTCTGTCGTCCTCCTCCTCTGCGCCTCCCCCAAGCCTGAACCCCTTCATCCCAGAACCCCTACAATGTCAACCCCGACCTTAAACCCCCTAAACCCCACACCCTAAACCCAAAAACCCTAAACCCTGAACCCAAAAACCCTAAACCCCAAACCCAAAAACCCTAAACCCAAAAACCCTAAACTCCAAATCCAAAAACCCTAAACGCTAATTCCTTCCCCCCCGACGTGCTCTGGCAGGGCTTGGGCTCGAGCAGGCTGGCTCAGATATCCGAGGCGCGCCGAGCATGAGAAAGGGGTTTCGGGCACCCAGGTGCTGCAGGCTTTCGGGGTCTTAGTATTGTAGGGTTCAGGGGTTTTGGGGTTTGTGGGGTGCAAAGCGCACGGTTTCTAAAGGGCTGTTCATGAGCTTGTGGGAAGTGGAGTAGCTCAAATTACGTAACGCGAGGCAGAGATGTGTGCTTTTCATGAAAAGTGTTCGCGGCCTTGAACGCCTGATGCCAGTGCGCTTTGAACGGCAAGTTGAGTTTAAGTCTTAAGTGTTCAAGGTTAAACTGAGTAAAAAGCCTCTGATGTTCTAAGACGTGAACGAGCTCCGCCCCTTGTCGGATAGCTCAGGCAACCCCGCGCTGTGTCTCTAGTCTTGAGGTCACAGGCGGCCGCGCGAAAAGAGTCGACCTCCGCAACCGGAACCCGAACATTTGGGTATTTGCGATCAGGGAAGGCCTGAATTGTCCTAAACCCTCAACTCGAAACCCTAAACCCTAAACCCTAAACCCTGAACCCTAAACCCTAAACACCCTCAACTTGAAACCCCCTACTTTGGGCTTTTGATCACGGACACCCTACAGGCATGATCCAGAACTACAGGGTACCTGGGGCCAGCCTTGTCTCTAAGCCTTGAAGCATAAACAGGGCTAGGTTTGAGCATAGTTTTTGCTTTGTATTAGACGTATAATCCCTATGTAATCCTCACACCGCTAATTTTTTTGGCCCAAATCTACCCCACTTTAACCCCTGCCACAGAAAAAAAAAAAAAAGAAAACTGGCCATGGTTTAGGGCTTAGGGTCCATGTCTCAAAGTCGGAACTTCGGGTCGGGGCAAATTGCCAGGATTGGGGTTTAGGCTTCTGCTGTGCTTGTTCAAAAAGAATGTTCAGGATTTTGCAGGGACTTAGACGACATGTCTACGCAATGCGCGCCTTGGTATTGGATTGGACCAGCCTCTGTGCGGCTTCACGTGAGTTAACACCAGGACTCTGATTCGCGCCCTTTTCTCCCCTTAGCCAGCGCACAGACACGCGGACCTGCCGTTGGTAGGGACCTGCGCACAGGCAAACATGCACTGGGCGTCTGAACCCCCAAAACCCCAAAAAACGCCCCAAATGCCCAAGCCTGACAGAAGCTTTCGGGAGAAGTGGAAAGTAGGGCACTGAGGTTTGTAGCAAATGCAGCGTTTCGATATATCAGGGTTCAGGCTTGCGGGGCTTGGCGAGGATTATGTGTGAGTTCAGGACTCTAAGATTCCAGATTCGGTGCCCCAAAACGTGGAAAAGGTGGGCCACGTGGCTGGTCGGGTCACTGTCTTGCGGGTACATGGGCTTAGGGTTTAGGCCACCTACCCTAAATTGGATCGGAAACCCTTGTGTTTGTAGACGCTTGGCTGCTGTACCCCCTGCTAAGGCGGTCGGGAGAACCATGAAAAAATGACTTCGAGCACTCTATTTTCGTTGACAGCTGTGGTTGTTAGGATGCTGTCCCGCTGAGTTCTCCAGATGCTGACCGACTGGCTTCAACCAAAATCCTACACCCCAGCCCTAAACCCCAAACACGAAACCAGCACGTAAACCCCAAACCCCACACTTTCCATATAACCCCCCTCCGAATGTCAATGATTCAACAAAAGCCCCTGTTGCACTTGGCTACGGGTTCCCAACCAAAGCCAGAGCACAACAGACGCTGCGTCTAAGGCACTGCCAGCCAAAAGATCCCCAAGGCAGGACAGTTCCTCCTCCAGCGTGAACCTGTAGAGAACTGGGGCCTTAATCATCAGGGTCATTATTATAATTATGAAGGAACCACAAGGGAATACTATTCGTGCTTTTTCTGACCCCTAGACTAAGCACTAGAGTTTAGGGTCCGGGCTTGGGGCTTAGGGTCCAGGGCTCAGGACCCAGCTCTAATCCTATAAGCCCTAAACACCATAAACCCGAAAACCCAGTTTAAAACCTCATTATCTAAATCCCGACCCCAACTGTAAAGATAGTGATTGAGGGCGTTTCAGATATTGGGCTGGGTTGCAGAAGGGCCATGGTCTCAATAGCCAACCCAGACCCTGCAAACCCCAATGAAGGGGATCAAGAAGGTTTAGGGTTTAGGGTCCACGAACAAATTTCTAGGTCCGGAGGGACCCTGATTCAAGGTTCATGGGTGGCTATAAAGCTATAAGCCGGGTTGCACCCCAAATAAGAGTCTCACCAGCAATTGTTGCTATAGTTACCTTCCTCATAGCCCCACTCAAAACTACCCATGAACCTCCAAGTAGTAGGCTTTCAGCCCAGAAAGCGTGCTAGATCAGTCGATCCCTAAACCGTGAACGCCAGGCCCTACACCCCTGAGAAACAGATTTAAAGTTTAAAGGGATCATGTCTGGTACCGTTGTGGGATGATCTGAAGACCGTATGTGGCGTAGTTGCGGGGCACCCATTTGCAAATAACAGTACTATAAGTCGACTCTCAGGGAGCAACTGAAGTATCAAGCGCTTCGCGAAAAGCCCTCAAGGTGTCTGCAACAATCCAGTACCTTGAAGGAAGGGTACTCGCTAAAAAGTGTATGGAAAAGTTGCAAGAAGTCCTAAACCCTAAACCCTAAACCCTAAACCCTAAACCCTAAACCCTAAACCCTAAACCCTAAACCAAAAACCCCTGAATCAGCTCAGCGCACCTCAGCTGCGCCGGTGCGCCCAGGAGGGCCACCCCTGGACAAACGAAACGCCCGGTTTGGGGTTTAGGGTTTAGGGTCTAGGGCTTAGGGTTGAAGGGTTAAGGGTTAAGGGATAATTAAGGGTTAAGGGTTAAGTTAAGGGTTTAGGGTTTAGGGTTTAGGGTTTAGGGTTTAGGGTTTAGGGTTTAGGGTTTAGGGTTTAGGGTTTAGGGTTTAGGGTTTAGGGTTTAGGGTTTAGGCTTTAGGGTTCAGGGTTTAGGGTCTCAGGGGAAGCTGGGTTTCAGTCTTGCAGGGTTTCGGGATGGGGCCTTGGGGTTTTGGGGTACTCATAAAGCCAACGACTAAAGCATCAGTCATGACAACAATGAAGACCAGGACACCAAGTTCAAGAGCCCCTAGAGCCTGTAGATATGTGGGGTTAAGGGTTAAGGGTTTAGGGTTTAGGGAAGAAGTACAGCGCTAATTTAGAAATATATTCATTCTCGAAACAAAAATGACGCTGACACTGGCACTAATTTACAACAAAACAGTAGCACTATGCATGGTACTCACAGGGGAACAGGAACTGCAATAACACAATAGCACTATGATTGATACTCATAGGGGGGACACAATAACGACAAGTGACAACTACAGAGATAAAACAGACCAACACTCAAAGCAGTACCAATAATACATAGGTACTAAATGATACTCATAAAGGAACAAGACACAATCGCACTAGAATTGATACTCATAGGGGGACACAATAACGACAAGAGACAACTATACAAAGATGAACCACAGCGAGAATAATGACCAACAATCACAACAGCACCAACAATACATGGGTAGCTCTCTGCATCAGGGCCGATGTTGCGGTCCTGTATATGTAGTAGGGCACCCTTCCAAGCAAGAACCCAAAACGGGACCCTAATTTAGAGAACCCTAAAACCCTAAAACCCCAAAACCCCAACACCCTAAAACCCTAAAACCCTGAAACCCTAAAACCCTAAAACCCTAAAACCCTAAAAACCCTAAAGCCCTAAAACCCTAAAACCCTAGAACCCTAAAACCCCAAAACCCCTAAAACCCAAAAACCCAAGAACCCTAAAACCCTAAAACCCTAAACCCCTAAACCCTTTCACGCTAAACCCGAATAAGAAGAAGCGGGACACCGGATCGCGACTGCTGCTCCTCGAAAGGCCGGTCGACCTGTGCAAAATTGCAGCTATGGTTTGCAGGAAGGTTTGGGCTTTAGGACTTAGGCTGTAGTAGGGTTTAGGGGCAAGGGCTTTTCGGAGTTTATGGGTCTTATAGGGTTTGCAGGGTTTATGGGGTTCAGAGTTGGGGCTTTCTAGGGTTAGTTCGACCTTCGGGTCACTTCCGCTAAGCTATACTCCCCTTAGAACCTTAATAAAATAATAATGTTTTAAATATCCTCTTGGGTTTTATAAAAAAAAATTCCCAAGGGGGATATAGGGTACAGGAGACAAGGTTGCTTGGCAGCTGTGCAGCTGTGCCTCCATCTCGGCCACAAGCACATCGCCTTGTCCTGCGTCCGGCATGGGTCTTGAACAGCACCAAGTCTAGGGTTTAGGGTTTAGGGTTTAGGGTTTAGGGTTTAGGGTTTAGGGTTTAGGGTTTAGGGTTTAGGGTCAACCATATGCGACACTGCTGCTCGAACGGATATGCGGCTGGGCGTTGTAGTATTTGGAAAGTTTAAGGCTCAAGGTTTGGGCGGCTAGATTAGCCGGTGCGACTCCGTCAGGCAGCGTCTAAGATTCCGTTAACGAGGAATAGACTGTACCTTCAACTACATTAGGGGGTGTCCTACAAAAGGGATACCCTTCTTGTACGTTCCGAAAAACAAGGATTCTAGCGGAGCGTTTCAATATATATATATATATATGTGTATATATGTATATATATATATATACCCGGTTACATTATGACTTATTGGGTACTTTGGGCTCTAGTATGAGATAGTCCTCGGGGCTGTAGAGCTTTCCAAATTATGCATGGCGTCGTGTTTAGGGTTTACAGCAAATTCGTGCTCTGATCCCAAGCCCTCCAAGGCCCAAAACCCCTGAACTTCAGAGTATCCACCCCCCCCGCCACCCCCCCGCCCCCGCCACACCCCCCCCCCCCCCCCCCAAAAAAAAAAAAAAAAAAAAACTAAAAACAAAAAACCAACACCAACCTGAATCGCCGAGGCGCCAAGATCCACCAGCCGCGCATGGAGGTTGGCAGTCTGCAAGGTATCGATAAACGGGTACCAGAGGCCCACGGCGAAGCCTGGCCTGCGCGCCCCAGTCAGGGTGGAGAGTTGAGGGTAGGGTTTAGGTTTTGCGGTTTTAGGGTGTAGTTTTTAGGCGTTTTAGGGTCTAGGGTTTAGGGATTAGGGTTTGGGGTCCAGAGCCCTAAATGCCCCTAACCCCACAGTCGAAACCCCGGACCCTAAACCTCCAGGGTCTTAGGCTTGCGGGTGTAGCCTTCGTCAGCTACGAAGGGAGGAGTGTGAAGAAGTGCCTAGACCCAAAGCCCTAAAATCCTAAACGCTAAGCCTTAAACCCACCTTCAGACCGCTCCTCCGCCTCAACAGAGGTCATAGGGGGCGGCGGGCTTCGAGGTTAGAAATTTGGAGAGCCCAATGCCCTTGACAAGGGAGTGCACCTGAATTTATGTGGTTTGGGGTTCGGGTTGGGGCTTTAGATTTGAAGGCGCATTCCTGGATTCAAGGGTCTTGGGCGTCTCGGATGAAGTCGGTACGTGTCATTCCTAGGGAAGGACAAAATCAGGGGTTGCGGGTACTGAACTTTAGGAGCTGAACCCTAAACCCTAAAAACTTCCCCAATCCCTGAGTGGCTTCCGCGCCCGAAGCCGAGCCGCAGGGCCCCGGCTCCCAGACTCTTGCAGATGCCAGTGGACCCTAATTACCCTAAAGCCAAAATCTTGATTCATCTCCCAACCCTAAAACCCTAAACCTGCCCAAGCAGATTTGAGCTTCCTTTTGTATGAGGAACCGCGAGATAATCCAAGATCCTAGGTTCACTTTGAAGGTAGGTGGCTGCTGATATCCCCATTCCATAGCCCAAACACTCTCCCCTCGCGTGTTTATTTGTGCAAGTAAGAGGCACTGAGTCACTCGGTTGGTCACAGATCTCCAAAAATCTGCCCGGACCAGCAGAAAGTGCAGAGCTTTATCCCGTAAACGCTCAAACCCATATCCGGGAGAAGCACCATCCATACCTTTAAGCTCCAAGCGCAAACTCGACCTACAGTAAAAACTCCGGCGTAATCACTGATGTTGGCTCAGGGTTCAGCGTTAGCCTAAGTGCAAGCGACGCTGAAAGCTGAAAGCCTAAGCGCCAACCTCGGAACCTCTCTAGCCTCAACCCCCCTATGAAAGTTGAACGATAAACCCTAAACTTCTGGTTATTGGCAAGTTGCAGATAATAGGGAAATACCTAAATGACTATATATATATATATATATATATATATATATATGTGTATATATATATGGTACCCCCCCAAAGATCTAGGTATTTTCCTGGTTTTGGGATCTGTTTTAGGGTTTTAGGGTTGGGGGTGGGGGGCTAGCTAAACATGGAAATCTCAATATGGACATGTAAATCTTGATATGTGCGAGTCTTCATATGTGCGTGGTCGTATTTTCAAATTGTGTGCCCGATTGAAACGATTGAAACGATTGAAATTCAATCGGGGGCCCGATTGAAAAACGATTGAAACGATTGAAATTCAATCGGAGACCGGATTGAAGATTGAAGATTGAAGATTCCCGGAAAGCTTTTTTCTGGGAATCTTCAATCTTCAATCTTCAATCCGGCCCCCGATTGAATTTCAATCGTTTCAATCGTTTTTCAATCGGGCCCCCGATTGAATTTCAATCGTTTCAATCGTTTTTCAATCGGGTTCACGTCTTGTAAAGTGTCAGAATTAGCTTTCGTGACGTCGCTCAAGATCACGTGTCTTCGCAGACATTCCACTCGAAATATACTTGACCATTTGTGTTTGTAATACTCGCAATGGCTCGCATCCCAGTGGCTGGCTCAGTCTTATGGTTTTTATTGGTTTTTGCGGTGTTTCGGGAGCGTGGGTCCCACGCTAAAAATCGGTTTTACCGATGTTTTTGAAAGCCTACCTTCAAAATAACATCGGTAAAACCAATGTTTTTGAAAGCCTACCTTCAAAAAACATAGGTAAAACCAATGTTATTGAAGGCCTACCTCTAAAAAACATCAGTAAAACCGATGTTTCGTGAGCCCATGCTCCCAAAACATCGCAAAAAAAACAATAAAAAAAAAAACATGTCAAAAACCATGATTTTCGAAACTAGTGGCTGGGGTGGCCGGCCGAGTAGTTTCAGAAACCATAGTTTTTATGTTTCTTATTGGTTTTTGCGGTGTTTCGGGATCGTGGGCTAAACCTTTAAGCCCTGTAGGCTATACGGTTAAGGTTTAAAGGTTTAGGGTTGAAAAGTTCAACAGTCAGCCCATAGAGTTTAAACCTTAAGGGTCCTAAACGCTTAACCTTTAAACCCTATAGGCCATAGGGTTAAGGTTGAAAGGCTTAGGGTTTAAGATTTTGGCATTAAAACACAAGCCCATAGAGCTTAAGCCTTAAGGGTTTAAGGTTTCAGCATTGAAACGATAACCCTAAGCCCTTTAGGGTCAGAACCTTGAAGCCCTGTAGGGCTCTAAAACGTTAACAGGGTTTAACCCTATAGGCGTTGAATGTATAAATGCCCAGACATTACGCTCTCTTTAACCTTTCAGCCCTATAGGGTCTAAAGGCTTAGGGTATTTCTTAAGCCCTGAGGGTTTAAAACCTTAAGCCCTCAAGGTGGGCTTGGGTTTAAATGCCTAAATCTTGAATCCTAAACCTTTAAACCTTAACCCTATAGCCTATAGGGTTTAAAGGTTAAGCGTTTAGGCCCCTTAGGGTCTGAACTCTATAGGCTTACTTTTAAAACCTAAACCCTTAAACCTTGACCCTATAGCCTATAGGGTCTAAAGGTTAAGCGTTTAGGCCCCTTAAGGTTAAGGGTCCTAAACGCTTAACCTTTAAACCCTATAGGCCATAGGGTTAAGGTTGAAAGGCTTAGGGTTTAAGATTTTGGCATTAAAACACAAGCCCATAGAGCTTAAACCTTAAGGGGGGTCCAAAGGCTTAGGGTATTTCTTAAGCCCTGAGGGTTTAAAACCTTAAACCCTTAAGGTGGGCTTGGGTTTAAATGCCTAAATCTTGAATCCTAAACCTTTAAACCTTAACCCTATAGCCTATAGGGTTTAAAGGTTAAGCGTTTAGGCCCCTTAGGGTCTGAACTCTATAGGCTTACTTTTAAAACCTAAACCCTTAAACCTTGACCCTATAGCCTATAGGGTCTAAAGGTTAAGCGTTTAGGCCCCTTAAGGTTAAGGGTCCTAAACGCTTAACCTTTAAACCCTATAGGCCATAGGGTTAAGGTTGAAAGGCTTAGGGTTTAAGATTTTGGCATTAAAACACAAGCCCATAGAGCTTAAACCTTAAGGGGGGTCCAAAGGCTTAGGGTATTTCTTAAGCCCTGAGGGTTTAAAACCCTAAACCCTTAAGGTGGGCTTGGGTTTAAATGCCTAAATCTTGAATCCTAAACCTTTAAACCTTAACCCTATAGCCTATAGGGTTTAAAGGTTAAGCGTTTAGGCCCCTTAGGGTCTGAACTCTATAGACTTACTTTTAAAACCAAAACCCTTCAACCTTGACCCTATAGCCTATAGGGTCTAAAGGTTAAGCGTTTAGGCCCCTTAAGGCTTTAACTCTATGGGCCTGCTATTGAACTTAAACCCTAAACCATTAAACCTTAGCCCTATAGCCTATAGGGCTTAAAGGTTAAGTGTTTAGGCCCTGTACGCTAAGATTTACACTCGATGGGCTTAGGTTTAAATGCCTAAATCTTAAGGCCTAAACCTTTCAAGCCTTAACCCAAAAGGGTTTTACGGTTAAGGGTTCAGGTTTAAATGGCGGTTACATCTTCAACTTCACATCGCCTCCGGGCCCATGCAAGTATTCAACTTGATATCGCTAAATCATGAAAATCCCTAGATCTTTGGGGGGGGGTAGCATATATATATATATATATGTATTGCGGATATCTTGCAGAAACATTGCACACTGATTTTGCGGATGCATGTTTCCGTGACTTTCAGGGTTGCATGTTTGGTTGCAGATTGTTTGCAGATGCCTTGCAGGATATTTTCGCTTGATGTTTGAAACTTGCCTCGGAAATATTGAAAAAGAACACAAAATGGACAAGCATGTGCGATCATGCGAAACATACCGCGAACCAAGAAAGCTTTGGGAACCGACATACAATCCCAGCACGTGCAATGTGCAACATACCTGCAAATAGTAGTTAATTCTGAAACTATGTATGTTGAGTGGCTCGAGTAATCGTATGACCCTAAACCCTGAACCCCCAAACCCGAAACCCTAAACACTCAACCCTAAACCCTAAACCCTAAGCCTGCGCCTAAGCTCTATCAGTCCATGATTGAGGGAGTCTGACTGGGGCCCCGGGCCGAACACTCCTCAGGAACTGGACCATGAAAAGGTTCCAAATGTGAAAAGAGTTCACCTCACATTGGGTTTAGGGTTTAGGGTTTAGGGTTTAGGGTTTGGGCGTTCAGAAGTTAAGTTACACCCCCCCCCCCCCCCCCCCGAAAAAGCGCTGTAGTTCGTTCTTGTCGGCCCACCGCCCACCTAGCATTCTTATTAGCTTGTACAGAACATAAGCAAGGCAGCCGGCCTCCTGAGGCACTTGCATCTCCTTCACGATCCCCAAGGGTTTAGTTTAGGGTTTAGGGCAGTTTAGGGCTTAGGGATCTTAAAGGACAGCCGATACATGTACTCAACAATATGGGTAAGGGACACGATATATATATATATATATATACATATATGTATATGTATATGTATATACAGACAGATGTATAATATGTGTACACTCACCCAAAAAACAACGACAAAATACCCCAAAGCCCAAGCACCAAACCCTGAAGTCTAAACCCTCAACCCTACCTGAGCCCTGCGTCGCCCCAGTGTTGGTTAACAGGAATGGGACCTCATTCGGGAATGAGGTGCCCTAAATAACCCCTTAAAGGGTATATATATATATATATATATATATGCTCACGCCCCCCCCATGATCCACGTTTCTGCTTCGAAACAGATGGATCTTGGGAGGAGAGGCGGCTATGAGCTAGCGACAAAAACACCGACAGTGCCGATAAAAACCTATATCATTTCAAGTCAGGCAGGTCATTTACATCAACAAGGTAGAAAAGTACCCGAAAAAATCTGCTTTTTTAGAAAACTCGAGCCGGCTCGAATTTTCCAAAAAAAACTGACACAGTAGGTCGCCCAAACACGACCAGGCTCGAATTTTCCAAAAAAAACTTAAATTTCAGGATCTATGGCTCCAGCAGCCCGGTAGATCCTGAAAGTTAGGTTTTTTTTGGAAAATTCGAGCCTGCTCGAGTTTCTGGGACCTAAAGCTTCAAGAATTTTCGGAAAATTCGAGCCGGCTCGAATTTTCCAAAAAAACCTGACACAGTAGATTGCCGAAACACGACCAGGCTCGAATTTTCCAAAAAAAACCTAAATTTCAGGATCTATGGCTCCAGCAGCCCGGTAGATCCTGAAAGTTAGGTTTTTTTTGAAAATTCGAGCCTGCTCGACTTTCTGGGACCTAAAGCTTCAAGAATTTTAGGAAAATTCGAGCCGGCTCGAATTTTCCAAAAAAAACTGACACAGTAGATTGCCGAAACACGACCAGGCTCGAATTTTCCAAAAAAAACCTAAATTTCAGGATCTATGGCTCCAGCAGCCCGGTAGATCCTGAAAGTTAGGTTTTTTTTGGAAAATTCGAGCCTGCTCGAGTTTGTGGGACCTAAAGCTTCAAGAATTTTCGGAAAATTCGAGCCGGCTCGAGTTTTCTAAAAAAATGCTGAAACCATAGCTGTGTGACCCCAAGGCCTCATAGATGACATAATTTAGGTTTTTTTTGGAAAATTCGAGCCTGCTCGAGTTTCTGGGACCTAAAGCTTCAAGAATTTTCGGAAAATTCGAGCCGGCTCGAATTTTCCAAAAAAAACTGACACAGTAGATTGCCGAAACACGACCAGGCTCGAATTTTCCAAAAAAAACCTAAATTTCAGGATCTATGGCTCCAGCAGCCCGGTAGATCCTGAAAGTTAGGTTTTTTTTGGAAAATTCGAGCCTGGTCGAGTTTCTGGGACCTAAAGCTTCAAGAATTTTAGGAAAATTCGAGCCGGCTCGAATTTTCCAAAAAAAACTGACACAGTAGATTGCCGAAACACGACCAGGCTCGAATTTTCCAAAAAAAACCTAAATTTCAGGATCTATGGCTCCAGCAGCCCGGTAGATCCTGAAAGTTAGGTTTTTTTTGGAAAATTCGAGCCTGCTCGAGTTTGTGGGACCTAAAGCTTCAAGAATTTTCGGAAAATTCGAGCCGGCTCGAGTTTTCTAAAGAAATGCTGAAACCATAGCTGTGTGACCCCAAGGCCTCATAGATGACATAATTTAGGTTTTTTTTGGAAAATTCGAGCCTGCTCGAGTTTTCGAGACCTGGAGCTTCAAGAATTTTCGGAAAATTCGAGCCGGCTCGAATTTTCTAAAAATATGCTGAAACCATGGCTGTGTGACCCCAAGGTCTCATAGATGACAGAATGTAGGTTTTTTTTGAAAATTCGAGCCTGCTCGAGTTGTGGTGACCTGGTGCCTGGAGATTTTTCGGGAAATTCGAGCCGGCTCGAGTTTTCCCGAAAGCTCTTGATATTCTGACTGCGGTAATTGATACAATTAGTAGCATTAGTTACCAATTCTATTTCAGTTGGTAAGTTTCCCATATTTTTTTGACGGCAAATATCTAACTTGTGAGAAGAGGTCACGCAATGGTTTAAATTCAACAATCGTTTTGGTCTTAAACCCTTGACAATTAACATAAGAACTACCTTGTGTCAAAGAAAACTTAAACTATCAATGAGGATATCTGCGGGACTAAAAGGTTCCATGATATATAAATAGCATAGATAATTTGATTACATATACATACCTTCAACTTGTATTCAATCAAGTAATTCAAAACTATATGAAGTGTCTTACTATTATTCTTCTTCCTACCTTTCACCTGCTGAACTGCTCCATCTACTTAATTATTCTCAACTAACTCTCTTATCTCTTCGTAAGCATGTTGTTTAAGTTGCTTCTCTATCTTCGATGTCTCTATTTGTTCGTATGTTGTTGCTTTCTTATGAAATGATTATGGCATCAAAGTGTTGTTAAAAACTCTTCTTCGGTTATAGGTAGATGTCCTGCTTTGTTTTTAATATGGCCTATATCTTCATAAGGATGTTTTTGTAGAGGGTCTAATGTTGATTTCTTTGATGTTATACTTCCTTTTTCAAACATACTAACGGAGTCTTCTACTTTCCGTATTCATATGTTTTGTCCCAGTGTCTTCTGGTCGTTGTCCTGATACATAAGGAGAACCATAGCTACGACTTCTGAATACATTCCCATAATCATTGTTTATTTGTTGTCCCGATGCTGAACCTAAACTGTGACTTACAATACCAGAAATTCCATTTTCTTCTTTTCTTTAACCGTCTATTTCAATAAAGCCATCTTGAATGAACTTATCTACATCTTCATAACACTGAGTCAGTTACGTCTTATATAAAGGAAGGTTCCAATCAGCATAAACATCTCTACAGCTTTTAGTCCCAGCAATGTATAGAACCATTTTTGATATATCCCGTCAGGATTCTCATACGCTAATTTAAGTCCTTGCGTGTCCGTTACGAATGTCTCTGTCTTTGCGAATTCGTCTCTAACTTCATTATGTAGTCTGCTTCCTGTGTTAGGTGCTTTATTTGAAACCCCTTCATCTCTTCTTTTATGTTCATGCATTATACAATGGTTTATAAGGTAATATTTATATCTAATCAATGAATATTGTTGAAGTTCAAGAAGGTGTATATTGGAAGCTACTATAGAGTGAATAACAGAGATTAGCAAACCACACAAAACCAAATCCAGAAACGGATTCTGTTTGTAGATTTCTGTTGTTTAAAAGTGTAGATAATCAATAGCAAGTTGTAGCTTCAGACATGGCAAGACACGAAAGTATCGTAAATACCGGTGTTTTTTCACTTCAACCATATGTGCAAATAAGCACAGGTGCAGAAGGACAAGCAAGAAAAGGATACATATGGATCATGGGGGGGGTGTGACCATATATATATATATATACACAGGGCCCCAGTTTCCTTCTTTCCCTGCTAATACAACAGCAAGACAAAGGATAGCATGCAGTCCAGCACTAGATCAATGAGTCCCCCGGTGAGTTCCGTTTTTTCGGGCTTTGGGTCTAGAGGGCCATACGAGGATATCAAAGCACGCAAGGACCAAACCGTCCACCCGTTTCGGGTGAGCAGCTGTTTTTTGTATAAGTTTAAAGTCTGTACCGGCCTCTTGTAATCTCTGAGAAAGTATGACCAAATACCACGCCTACCATACTAAGCGCCCAAACCCGAAACCTTAAACCCTGAACCCCAAAACCCCTAGACCCTAAGCGCCTCAAACGCGACTGCAACCAAAGGTGCCGAGTCGTAGGGCGGGTCGAGGAAAACGACCCTTGGCGGCCATCAGGGTTATGAAGCTTAGATACCTAGAGCAACTCTAGGGTTTAGGGTTTAGGCTTTAGGGTTTAGGCGTTGCACCTTATGAATTACACAAAACGATGGTAAAGAGACCAATACTTCTCAAGTTCACGAGGCATTTTTGTGAGGGCAGAAAAAAATCATTCAGGCAGAGTCAGGGCTTGTGAAGATTGGAAGTTACAGTGGGCGAGGACCTAAAGGCCGGGCTTTGGTTTGGGCTAAACCCTAAACCCCCCAAACCCTAAGCCCAAAACCCTTAAACCCGAAACCCTAAACCCTAAACCCCTATACCCTAAACCCTTGGGCTTCGAGGGTGTGCCCTAGTTGCTTAAAAAGTTTGATAGTCCACACCTAAGGGGGGGGATCGTGGCCCTCTACCGCCTGGGAAGCCTGCCTTGCGGTGGGGTTTAGGGCTTAGGGCTTAGGGCTTAGGGCTTAGGGTTTAGGGTTTAGGGTTTAGGGTTTAGGGTTTAGGGTTTACGGAATCTGCCACGGTGTTCTGGAAGTTGAAGTGCCCCTCGCCTTCTGCAATGTCTGACATCGAAACAGCCGTAGGATTCCTTGAGCCATGCTAGCCCAGACCGTGCCTTGTGGGTTTCGCCGCATGCTGTAATCCAGGATAAGTAGGTTTACGTAGATCAGCCTTGTGCCTGAAAGCAGGGTAAGCCTTCAATGGATCAATCTTTGTTGGCACAAAAATCAGAATATCATGGGCAATAATAACAGTCACTCCAGGTACGGTTTGGGTTTTGTCGCCCGGCTTCGTTTCTTCGGGGGGATGAGCCCTGAAACTCGCAGCCCAAGCTATCACCGCATGCCCCGGGCATGTCACGCGAGGATCCGCCCTGAACCCTGGCTCAGACACGGGCCCTCTCTCTGTAAAGAGCGAGGTGTTGGCTCGAAGTAGCCATCGATAGGAGTCATCACAGAACCTTGCACTGTTTTGCTTGATCCTTAAAACCCCAAACCCCAAACCCTAAACCCGAAACCCTAGGCAAGCCAAAGCGTGGTAAAGCATCATGAGTCATCTCGAGGGAGACTTGCTTTCTGAAAGGAATCCAAAAGCCCAGTTCCGTGGTAGTCCACTGGAATACCTTGTAGACCTAAAAGTTAAACCAAGCTTCGTTCTGTAATGGCCTTTCGTGGGGTACCAGGATATGAGTGTCGATGGGTACTCTACGACCATGTCGAAGAACTGCTACACAAATATGAGGAGCACGGAGGTTCAGGCACACTGCTGTTTACTGCTTGCAAAACATGCAACATGGGGTAATTGGAGTTTCTTCCGACCCATGAAGCTGGAGAGAGAGGGAGGGCGACACAAAGAGCGAGAGAGTGAGGGAGAGAAGCCTTTCTGTGCTGTTTAACATCAGCTGTCTTACTAAGTCTTACTACAGCTGGCAAGGCACGTGTGGATGCCGTCCTCTGCAGAAGTGGGACCTCTGGCAGGTAGAGTCATGCTCAGTGTTCATGACTGGTTTCGGCGGTTGGGCCTGGACCGCCAAATCTAACCCCATCTTCGGGTTTAAGGTTGAGGGTGCGCGACGAACTCTGACTGACATGTCCCAACCCGAGCCCCCACTCTGCCTCCAAGGGAACGAAGGTGCCGAAGTAGGTCCCTGTAGATGCCTGGGGCGGCCTCGAACAGCAGGACCTCTGCATGAGATAAAGGGGGGTTGGGGGGCCCCCTTTTGGCTGTTGGTGGTAGGTAGGAGTATGAGTATACCATGATGCCGACCCAAGAAGGGGCACACATTTTAGCTCTAGCTCTTGTTGTTTTGGGTGTGGGCAATGGGGGGGGTGGGGGAAGAGGGAAAATCTTTAGAAAATAGTTCGTGGAACCCTAAACCCTAAACCTAAAACCCTAAAACCAAATGGAAGCAGGAGTTCTGTAACCCAGCAGCGACAACTTGGAGGGCCGTCTGCTTGGAAGTCCCTGAACCCCTAACCCCTAAGCCCAAACCCTTCTTGAACCCTTGTTGCACCTTTTTTTTGAAACCTTCTTGAACCCTTTTCGGACCTTTTCTTGGAACCTTCTTGAACCCCTTTTTTTAAAATCACTTTTGCGATAACGTGGGGTTTCGGGGGGGGGGGGGTGGGTGGTAGGGTTTAGGGTTTAGGGTTTAGGGTTTAGGGTTGAGGGTTGAGGGTTGATGGTTGAGGGTTGAGGGTTGAGGGTGAGGGTTTAGGGTTTAGGGTTTAGGGTTTAGGGTTTAGGGTGATGGCGGCCCCTGAAACGAGCCTGCTGGGGCCTCTGGGCGTCTTTTGAGGGGCATCCGTGGCCTCCCTCGGCTTCTGGAACCTCCTCTACTATTTGCTTAAGAACACCCGCCAAAAAAACAATGTATTCTTCCTTATAAGGGCAGTATACATATGTGTATATATATATATATATATGTATGGATTATTGCGTTGTATTTGTTAGGTGTTCTGAAGCAAAGAGTCCTCCCGAGGTCTTTGTGTCCTCTTGGGCCTTTTGTGGCCGCCCAAATGCGCTGGGATTAGTTTGCCTAATCTCGGCTTGTCAGCTGTTTAGAGAAACAACCCACTGATTTCACACAAAATTATGTTTCCTTTTCTCTTGAGTGAGGGTTTAGGGCTTCGGGCTTGAAACTGTAAACTGTAACCCTAAACCAAAAGCCCCCCGTCTTGGCATACTGGCCTGCTAAGACTGGACCCCCCAACACTCAACCCGACTGCCTTCCAAAACTGGATTTGGGGAGCATCCGGTGGGCCCGGGGGGTTTAGGGTTTAGGGTTTAGGGTCTAGGGTCTAGGGTCTAGGGTTTAGGGTTCAGGGTTTAGGGTTTGGGGTTTGGGGTCTAACGCCTGGTCCTGTGGCCGACGGGCTTGCAAAGCAAGAGCCGCAGAGCCAGCGAAGAGATGCAGCTGGCGCTGGCCTCCCACGAGTGGAGGGGACCCCGAGCCGACAATGGCCCAAAAAGGGTTCAGGGTTTAAGGGTTTAGGGTAAGTTAGGGTTTAGGGTGTAGTAATTTAGGGTTTAGGGTTTAGGGTTTAGGGTTTAGGGTTTAGGGTTTAGGGTGATCAAAGGCTACGCCCCAAACTCCAAATCCGCAAAAACGCCTAGGACCTGTAGGACCCGTAAGACTGAACTAAAGACCATTAAGCCCCAAACGACCCCAATCCTTAAACCTGAAACACCTCAGAAACCCTCAACTGTCAATCCATCATTAAAACAAAGCCCCTGCAAGACTTGGTCACATGTCTGCTGTGAGCAGACGCATCGGCCATGATGGCTGTTGTACGGTTGAAGCATGTAGCTCCTGTGGACTAAACGCTAACGCAATCATAAACCCTAAGCCCTAAACACTAAGATATAGGGGTCGGAATAACTACTAATACGGAATAACTACTAAAAGAAGTCCCCTATGCCCCCTTGCTAAATCTACTAAAAGAACCCCAAAACCTTGTTCTAATTATTAAGGCCCCTAAATTGTTCTGGAGCTCTTGGCACTAGGAATTGGACCTTTCATTCTATGTTTCTTTGAACTTGAGCAGTGGCCTCGGTTTCCCTCGAAGGGATCCCAAATCCGAAACGTCCCCTAAACCCTAAACCCCAAACCCTAAACCCCTACCTGCTGAAACGCTCAGTGCTTCAAGCTAAATTTCGTAGATCCGCCCGCATGTCGCCCAACACGCCCCTCTCCCATTGTAGTTCCTTTCCTGTTTGGGTGCGCATTCCGCTATTTCCAAAATTCTTGCTCAGCATCAAATGAGACAGTTCGATGTTTGAAGAATCGGTGTATATAACTAGTTACATTCTTTCTTATTATTACAGTATATTGGACTGCAACATAATACTTTATATATACACAGATACTTTATGTGTACATATATACATCTCTCAGATACTGGTATACATGTGTATATGTGTATACATATATGAGTTTACGAATACATGTATACACGCATACGCACACACACATATATATACATACACACATATATATATATATATAGAGAGAGAGAGAGAGAGAGAGAGACAGAGAGAGTACATATATGGCCTCCTTCTCCTGACACTCTGTAGTTGGTTCGCCTTTGCAACGCCAAGTATTGGCAGACCTGACGCGGCTTGGAGTCTTTCAGGATTCGTTAGGGATTGAGGCTTAGGTCATAAGGTTTAGTGTTTTGGGATTCATGTGGAGTGTTGTGGGTAGAGCTTCAGCCGGTAGGGCATTTGAAAGTACTAGCGGGTCTCTTGAGCTCAGTGATGCTGCGGCTTCGGCCGTGCTTTGGACCAACACCATATCCCAAGCAGTATCAGCATGAACTCCAGCATGAGATATCCCACCTCAACTAGCCTTAACATAGGCAGGAACCTTGGAGGGGGTTGAGGGTGCAGGAGGGGCAGCAAGAAGAAAGACATAAGAAGATGCCATGAACAAACCCTCCTGTGAGAGGTACTCGGGGTCGAAACCCCCGACCCTAGACCCTAGACCCTAAACCCTAAACCCTAAACCCTAAGAATCCTAAACCCAAAAATCCGTGCGAGGCAGGCGACTGTGGGCGTCAGGACCCGTCGGTGATCGCCCTCCGCGGCAGTTGCTGCGTCCGACACGTGGATGATACCATCCTGAAAGTTCCTTCCCAGAGTGGTTTAGGGTTTAAGGTTATAGGGTTTAGGGTTACAGGGTTTAGGGTTTAGGGTTTAGGGTTTAGGGTTTAGGGTTACAGAGTTCAGGGTTTAGGGTTTAGGAATGTAGCTTCGAGATATCAGGGGTATTGACCTCCGTGTGAGGTTCGGCCTTGCGGGTGGTTTAAGGTTGCCAGGTTCGGGGTTGTTAAGCGTCGAAGCAACTCTCTAACCCTAAACCATGAACACCCACAGGCGCTGCAACTACTCCTGATGCCCTTTCAAACAACCGAGCTCGTAGTAGGCTCCCGCTTGCGGGGTCGAGGGGTTTCGGGTGGCTTTAGGGTTTCAGGGGCTGAAGGGCTCACATAGTTTGGGGGGGGGGGTCTAGGATGTGAGGGGGGAGAGAAGGTCGAGGGTCGAGGGTTGGGGACCGGATTGAGACGGCGATCCCTGTGTGCCTGTGATAGCCAGGTTCCAGGCCACGAAAATCATAAATCCCGCTGCCTGGACTCAACAGGCCCATGCCTAAACCCCGGTTGTGCATCTCTCTTGGGGCACGTGACTGTTGCAGTCAACATCCCAGAACAACCCCTGTAGACAGTGAACTCTAAACTGTGTCCGTTGTCTGTAGACCTCGGAAGTCTTACATCCCAAATCGCTTCGTTTCTGGGCAGGCTTGGGGTCTAGGGGGCTTGGGGAATAGGGTCTTTTGGGCTTGGGGGGTTTTTAAGTGTAGGGTCTTTGGGGTTTAGGGTTTAAAAAATGGGTGCAGACATGCTGATCGCGGCTTACTTCGGTTGTCGGTAGTGTTCAGCGAGTCTTATTTGCAAGTTCATTAGAAATACGAGACATGCGTGAGACATAGGGTAAGCACAAGTGGTGTCGGATTTTGGGTGGATAGTGCAGTCCTGCCTGCGTGGCAATCTACGACGGTCAGGGGCTCCTTCCATGCCATGAGGCTCTGCAGCAGGGCCAAGAACACCTGCAGGGTGCTCTGATTTATGGTCATGCTGGGCCGCATACTAAGACCTTACCGTGTGATATCTACGGCACATAAAGCGGGACTGCAAAGCAGAACACTCACCACCACAGGATGAAGGCTTTCAAGAATAAGGCTTTGCTTAACCCCGTTGCCTCTATAAGGACGTTGCCGGCAGCATGTGAAAATCAGGCGGGGACATGCTAGCACAGAAATCAGGATTTCCCTGCGGGGGAAACCGTGGAGACCTAGAACTCCACGTATGTCTCGCATTTACGGAAACTGCTTGAAGATACCGTGTATACTTCCGGTGTTGTCTAGAATGCGCCAGTCATCCCATCTCGGAAGCAAGAGCAAGCAAACCAACCGAGGATTGTTGTCATGGACTTGCGCAAGTGTGGTGAATACGGCTTCACGCCCTGTTCGTCACAAAGCAGTTCAAACGTATATGCAAGGTGCAACCCCCTACACTACACAAGAAGCATCAGCTGCAATCCTGTGCGCAGAAATCAGAAAGCTGTCGCAGCTCCGAGAGCCCCGCGAGAAACTGCAAAACATCCCATCTGCATGTCCAGCTCTTCTGCATACAATTGCGTCCACGTGCAGCTTGTCTGCGCCGAGTCGGTCGTGGCCAAATCCGTGGTCCTTATTTTCTCGTAGGAACATGGCAACCTGATCGAAATATCGTTGCTCCTCGGAAGGTGAACTATAGCGTCTCCATACATGGCAAAGGGTGTTCTGCGTGAGGACAGGGAAAACTGGAAGCGCAAGCTGTCACTTTCGCAAAGCTCAGAAATCATACGGCATTTCATCTGGCAAACGCAATCTCCACACCCGACCACCCCAAGCCTCAAACCACGAAAGGTCCTGCGACTGGCACAGTGCCCACAAGTAGGAAGCCCTCAACAGAAAACCCTGCAAACTCCCAAATCTCGATCACCCCCCCCCCGCCCCTCCCCTCCCTTCTTGCTGATGGCCTCCCCGGACACTCTGGCAGTTGCTTGGGTTAGTACCAATCTTCAACCCTAAACCCAAGGCCCTAAGCCCTAAACCCTGTAGCTGCAAGTTTTCGGGAGCACTCAGGTGCTGCTCTCAGAAATAGGACTCTTAGATAAGATGTGCTGTAGTGCGAGACGGGCCATTTGAGGTTTTAGGGCCCAGGCTTTAGAGTCTAGGTAGTTAAGCCGGCTTCACCCGAATGGGCTGCTCACAGGTGGGCTCCTTGCTAGAGGGGCCTTTCTTTTCCTGTATATAGAAAGCAGCGAGCGAGAGAGAGAGAGAGAGAGAGAGACAGAGAGAGGGGAGAGAGAGAGAGGGAGGGAGGGAGGGAAGGAGGGAGAGAGAGAGAGAGAGCGACAGCGCGAGCGAGAGCAAGACAGAGAGAGAGAGAGAGAGGGGGCAAAAGGCAGAGTCAGAGGGAGAGGAAGCCTGAACCCCACCCTAAACAGTAAACCCTAAACTCTAAACCCTAAACCCTAAACCCGCAGCCCTAAACCCCGAGCCCCGACCTAAACCGAAAACCTCTGTGGCCCCAAAGGCGCCACATGCTTGAAGCAGTCGATGGGATCACCCGCTTGGAAAGCGTGCACGTAGGTTCTGCGGTCCCTTGGTTGAGGACTTAGGGTTTCTAGGGGTTTAGGGTTTTCTAGGGGTTAGGGTTTAGGGTTTCCAGGGGTTTAGGGTTTCTAGGGGTGAGGGTTTTGGGGTCTAGGTTTAGGGCTCAGGGCTTTATGGTTCAGGACTTTAGGGGCCGGGCAGCGTCTGCCTCAGGGTTTAGAAAGTAGAGCCTTGCAGAGTAGTACTCCCTATATACGTCAGGATACCAATCAGGGTCCCCAGAAGGTCCACTTGAGGTACGATTCTGAAGGTAGGCACCCGGAGCCATACTCTGCAAATTTAGGAAGAATGCGAGAAGTGCACCCTCTGGGAAAAATCTAAACGCATCCTTGTGGGCGTTACAGCGTGCAGCATTACTACCAACGTTTCAGGCGTGAAAACAAGGCCTGCGATTTCAACCCTATGTGATTGGCGATAGTACAGCTGGGGGTTTACTTAATGGTTCTTAAGCAAGCGATGAAGGAGCACTATATATACACATATTTCGGTGTAGGTAATTCGGGAATGAAAAGAGCTTAGACATAGCTCTATATCTATATCTGTATATCTATGTATATATATAGATATATATATATATATCTATAAATTTCTGGGACAGAGGATAGCTGAATTTAGGACTTAAGTGTTGAGTGGTGCGATTTGTTGGTTTGAAGGGGCTTAACAGGGCACCTAAACCCAAAAAACCATGGAACAGGGGCCGACTCTGGGTCCCAGTACTGCCTCCAACCCTCAACCTGAGCACCCCATTTCGGCAAGTTGCAAGCTATCTGCGCCCATCTGGTCTTGGATGCCTGTCGCACCATGGTTAGGGTTTAGGGTTTAGGGTTTAGGGTTTAGGGCTTAGGGTTTAGGGTTTAGGGTTTAGGGTTTAAGGTTTAGGGTTTAAGGTTAAGGGTTTAGGGTTTTGGGGTTTAGGGTTTATACCGTTTAGGGTTTATAGGGCCTTAGGGTTTAGGGTTTAGGGTTTAGGGTGTAGGGAAAGCCTTCACCCCCGCACATCCACGTCTCACAAAAGCCTGCATCGTTAGGTAAGGGCCTTGGTAGGGTTCAGGCGCGCGCTTCAATGGGACTTCATCCGCTAAGCTCATCCCAGAAGAAAGAGGACTTCTGACGGTCAAGGGTCCTGCTCATGGGGCCTCTTCAGGCTTCAGATTCTTGGGGGCATTCTGCGTTGGAGGGAGGTTTGGGGCCTCAAGCTCCGTAAACTCCGAACCTGTGAACTCCAAGGCGAGGCGAAAGGGGGTGGGGAGGGAGGAGAAAGGGGGCCTAAGACGGACGAGTTGCGGATCTGAGCAAGGATGTGCTTAGTGAACATTTGCGTAAGGAACTGTCACCCTACTTTTGCCCTCCCAATACTGCCCCCCCCAAAACCCAAAAGCCCTAAAATCCTCAACCCTCAAGCCCTAAACCCTACAACCCTCCCTAAGCCCTAAAACCCTAAACCGTAAAATTCCCTAAAAACCCTAACGCCCTAAAACCCTAAAGCCCTGAACCCTAAAACCCGAACACTCTAAAGGCCCCTAAACCCCCCACACCTTACTGTCCTAAGACCCAAACCCTAAACCCCCAAGAGACCCCAACACCCTAAGCCCTAAAACAACCTAAAACCCTAAGCCTTAAAGCCCTAAGCCCTCAGATACCCAAAACCCCAAAACCCCTGAAGCCCTAAAACCCCAACAGCCGCTCAACACCCTACTATCCTAAAACCCCAAAACCCTAAAAACCTTTAAAACCCTAAAAACCCAGCACCTGAACCCAGAAACCCTAAAACCGGCGGAGGTATTTTTCCTCCTAAAACCCTGAAACCCTAAATACCCTAAACCTCTAAAACCCCCAACAGCCCTTAACACCCTGCATTGCAGGATTGTAACAATCCTAAACCCTAAAACCCCTAATACCTAAACACCCCTGAAACCCCCTAACACCCCCTAAAACCCCAAACGACCCCCACAACACCCCGGCCTGCCACCCAAAGGCTCCGAAGCAGCTGCAAGGCACGGGCCCACTGGCCGCAGGTCTCGCAAGCTTGGATAGCCTTGCGAGGTGGTTTATAGGCTTTATAGGGTTTTTTAGGGCTTTTTCGGGCTTTTAGGGTTTTCAGGGTTTAGGTTTTAGGGTCTAGGGTTAGGACTTAGGAGGCCCGAGTGTGGATGGATTTCAGGGGTCGGGGGTGCAGGTTTTAGGGTCGAAGGTTTGGTGTATTTAGGGTCAGGGTTTCCGCATTTTGGGGCTGAGGGCTTCGGGAGGCTGACGCGGTTCCCTCACTCTGGTCGAAAGGAGTGAAGAGTGGCAAGCTGCTGGTTGTTCAAGCCTACTCAGCACCCGAACTGCCAGAATGGCCTGCCTAAGGCCAACACCTGTTCGGGCATTTCGCACGTGAACAAAGAGAAGGACAAAAGCCCAGAACGCCGCAACTCCCTTACGCCATGAACCGAACCGCCAGCGCGCCGGAAAGCCCCCAACAATACAAAAAGTAGGCACCCACGTTTGGAACTACAAGTGTGGGGCAGGGGCGAATGGTATAGAGTCTAGGCTTGCTTTAATTAGGACATTCATCATCCACTTCTTGGTAAGGTCGTTGTCTTCAATCAAGGACATCCATGGCCCTGGCTGTGTAGTACGATACCCGATCGTGCTCGACTCTCGTCCTTGTGCGAACTGGGGTAGTTCAAGCTTGCATCTTGGTGCACAACTGGGGCGGTTCTGAAAATGTTGGTGCCGTTTGAGGTAACCTAGATGCAAAGGCTCTGCATAAGAAGAGGAGCTCCCCAGAAACCTACAGTAAAGTTGCCAGGGTGACACAACCTGTGTTTAGATGTGCTTGGGCTTCTGCTTCACAAGGATTCGAGTAGGACTGGAGCTCAGGGACTCTGCTCAAAAACTTGACGAAAACTGATAAACAACGAAGCTGGTCGATTGCAAGTCCGTGTCATCACCCGCACTCCTGGACGAGCCCCAGGGTTGCACAACCCTAAACCCTAAACCCTAAATCCTAAACCCTAAGCCCTTCACCCTAAACCCTAAATCCTAAACCCTTAACCCCAAACCCTGCCATACCTTATAATTTTGCAGCTCCTTTTCCTTGGGTGCCTGCCTCTTCTAATTTTCAAGCCGAAATTAGGCACCAAAGTCTCTATGCAATGTAGGAAGTACTTTATTAAACCTCAAGTATACGTTTTTCAGGTACATGAACCCTTTAGGGGGAAGCCCGTGCGGCCGCAAAGTCAAACCCCCTGAGCGTATCATGGGACTGCATTGCAGTCTCCCGGGCTTGGGCTTCAGGGCCTCAGGGCCTCAGGGCCTCAGGGCCTCAGGGCCTTAGGGCCTTAGGGCCTCAGGGCCTTGGGCCTAGGGTTTACAGGATTTAACCAGTTGCGGCCCCGGTTCCAAGCCGCCTCCGCAAGAAGATGCAGAGCCACCTGGCCAGCGCGTCGGTCGTGCTCCCTAAACCCTAAACCCCAAACCCCAAACCCCAAACGCTGAACCCTAAACCCTAAACCCTAAATCCTACCAGCACGGGCTTTGCGTGCAGGATTTGGGGTTTAGGGTTTAGGTCAGGGACGGGGGAGAGAAGGGTTACACTTAGCTAGTGTCCATATGCAACTTGCACAAAACATCCGCAATTATGGGTCTTTGTACAGATCTAGGAGAACCACCACGATCCTTAGATCTACTTCGAGATCGGCCTTCTCCTCACATCTCTATTCAATAGCGGTTTCTTACAGGAGGGCTTGTTTCGCGCAGCTCTAACCCTCTGCCCCAGAAAGTGGGGCTTGGGGCTGAGGGCTTAGGGACCCATGATGGTGTCCCGAGCCAGGGTGGAGATCCAGAACACATGGTTCATTCAGACGCCTATTCAGCAATTCAGCGCCCAGTTGCTTTTGCATAAAAGAGGCCGTTCTGAAGAACATCTACGTCATGCTTCCCCTGCAAGCTTGCTGCTTACATGGGGTTAGATGGGAACCTAACCCACAAAAAAGGGGGAACTAGGGCTACTACTGGTATTTGGGCGCCTCCCATCTGCCGCCTTTGCCACAGGCTCCGATCGCCTGGCGTACGCCAAGACAGGGTTTCATCCCCCTTTCCCCCGCCCCCTTCCCCTCTTCCCCCTGCCCCGCCTGACTGCCCCCCCTCACCCCACCAAAAACAAGTTCTCCCCAAACTTGAACTCAGACTGGGAGAGAGAGGTTTTGAGGGTTTAGGAGTTTAAGGGGTTTAGTGTGTACTCGCGGGAGTTTGACAGGAGCTTCAGGGTTTTTGGCACCTTGCAGAAGCCAAAGCAGCTCCCGAAAGCATCCTTTGCTTAGGGGCTTAGGGGCTTAGGGTTCAGGAATTGGGGGTTCAGGGTGGGGACGAAACGGCATACAAGATGCCAATTGGCACATGAGGCACGTACTATATCGGTATTCCAGGCCTCACCCCATATTCCCTTATTAAGCCATGATTATTGCCCGAGGTCCTGAGCGAACCGAACAGCCTAAACCCTACCGAGTACTTGAAAGTGCCGGAGGAAGGGTTCGAAGAACTAGAAGAGATACCTCGAAATCCTGGTACCTATCTGCAGGATCTCTGCGTGAACTGCTGCGGTCATCTGAGGCTCTCTCTCGAAAACAGTCATGTTGAGGTTCGTGCTAGTGAAAGAACAAGAGGCTGAGTTGTAGGTGATGACATCCTTCTGCACCGCAGCTTCCTCAAGGGTAAGCATGCCTATAAGCCCTAAACCCTGCAACCACACGGCTTGGGTGAACTTCCTGGACTCAGCCGCCGCCTAAAGCGACAGGCCCAGAACAGCTGAATTCTGCCTGAGAGTTCTAGGGACTAGTGGACTCTGTCGCAAGATTTCTAGGGTTCGGGCTTATTTAGGGTCCGGGCTTGTACCGGCCGCCTCAACCCCCCCAGAGAAACCAAGTGTGAGGGCAGCGACCCTCCTCCATGACATCGACGACGGCCAAGGCTGCTTGCCATGAAGCCCCCTGCAACAGTAAATTTGCCAAAGCCCCAGCTCCTTAACCCCTAAAACCTAAACCCCCAAACACCCAAATCTCCGAAACCCTAAACCCCAACATGCGCACGATGCAAGGCCTTAAGCCCTCTAGGGTTTCGCAAGGTTTCTGTTTAAAAAAGGGGTTTCGGGTTCAGGTGCCTTGCAAAACCCCAGCAACCTCAAACAACCCTATACCAGCCCGAGAAACCCTGAAGCCCCAAACCTACAGCCTCCCGTTCAAGGTGAGGACCACCCCCCCCCCCCCCCCCCAGTTTTCGTCGCTCGGCTTATATCCTGGCTCCTGTGTGGTTGAACGAAAGTCTACAGACCCAGCTTTGCCCAGTTTCGACCCCAACCCCTAGCCCTGAACCTTAAAACGAATACATAGACAGAACAACTACGGCGACTAAATGAACACACACACACACTCATATATACATATATATATACACATATAATATACGTAGAAATACATGCGCATTTTTTACTTGAGCATGCGATGTATATAAAGTGCTCGTTTGTACCTAGGCGGATTCAAATCCAGGGTCTGACCCTCGAAGCCAAATGCAGGAAAGATATGCAACACTTCAAGGAGCCTACTACTGAAGGTTCACGGGTAGTTAGAAGTAGGGCTTGTAACTACCCATGACCCTCCAAGTATCAAGGCAAGGCAGCGCTGCCTTCTCGCAGGCGCTGATGGCCGCGTTGAAGGGCTCCGCACCGGTGTGGGTTGCGGCCGTCCGGATGTGACTCCTCGTGTGTAGTTGGTTCGGGATACAAGGCTTTTTTAGGGAGGCACATGTCAAGTCTAGTTTCAGGGGGTTGGGGTAGGAAGGGAAAGTTGCAGGTTTCGGGTGGAAAGCTTAGGGGTGAGGCATGGTCGCGGACTACGTCCTCAACCTTAAGCACCGAAACCCTGAACAGAAGCTCAGCGAAAGATCTTGCTGCCAGTCGCAAGCCGAAGGTGAGGGATTCTGCGTTCCTTTTGACCCACCTAGAACTCCCCAGAATGCCCCAGCTGTTGCTAGTGTCAGTACGTTTGTGATTTCTACTAGTAACACTAGAAAGTATGATTACTAGTTAATTGAGTATGGCTATGCGGGCCTCAAAGTTGTGATGAGCGTTTGGGTCCTTGATGATGTCTTTGGGAGGGGCTCACATCATTTGATCATGCGGCCATGCTGCCCATAGCACTGTGGTTCCCTTGCAATCTTATAAACATAGCAAGACTTTCAACACTCCCTTGGACTTAAAACAAACCGTTTCTAAGGAAACTACCCGGAACCCCAAACCCCAAACTGTAATTGGGGACATTGTCTCACAACAGAACTGCAATCCTTCGGGTGCCCGTGCATTAACCGGTAAATTCTGTAAACCCGTATAACCCTTTTGCCAGTGGACACACGGAAAGATTTTGGGCTCTGTTCCCGGGAGATTTAGAGATCTCTGTGAGTCCAGAGAGCAGAAGCACAAGGTAAACCGTTGCACCCTAAACCCTAAACCCTAAACCCTAAACCCTAAACCCTAAACCCTAAACCCTAAACCCTAAACCCTAAACCGCTAAACGGCTAAACGGCTAAACCCTAAACCCTAAACCCTAAACCCTAAATTTGAGGGTCGAAGCCAGGGAGCACCAGGCTCAGTGCAGCCATCCATTGCCTCATTCTGTGTGAGGGCTTCAGGGGCCCTCCCCCAAAGGTCCGCTTCATGGCATTTAGGGTTCTTGTTTGGGTCCCATATCTACCCTCAAAGTAAGGACCCCAAAAGGGACCCTTATTGAGAGAACTACCAAGATTACCAACTATGTACTTAAAGCCGGGCCAGGCGTATTCTCAATAGGGTTTTGGGAAGCTAGTTCCGTAATGATTGGTTTGGTATGGATGGGTCCTCTGAGTTGGTCCAGACTTGCTTCTAATGCGACATCGCACACGGCTGTAAGTATTGGTTGGCATTGCTGATTTTCTCTTGTGCTCACTCTGCCCAAATGGCCGCTCTTTTGGCGCAAGAAATCAAAGAAACGCGGTTCCAAGAAACGTGCGAAAAGCTGGCTTTTCCCACGCCAGTCACCCGTCAGGCTTCATGAGTCCAATCGGGTTGTTAGTTTGTTCTCCGTGAAAACGTGACGAAAGAAAATTCTAAAAATCCGGTGTTTTTTCTTAAGAAACGCGATCATGTCTAGTAGTGCAAGGAACTTCAGAAATGCGCGCCGCGAGTTTTTAGATTGTTGACACTGCTCGCATCTGAGCGCTTTGCCCCACCTAGTAAGATGTAAATCCCCGACCCGAGAACTGCTGAGCGCTGTGGTTTTAGAGTTTCGGCGTTTGGGCTGATAGCTTTGCAGGCCCATCCACAGAGGTTCATACTCGAAAGCTATGGACATCTCAATTGTATGCTGCAACATTCGGATAAGAACCGATCCACCACTTGGTAGCCTAGTAGCCATATTAAAATAAGGGTACCTTTCTTGGGTTGGTTACTGTATTTAGAAGGGAACCGTGAAGCAGGTAAAGGGAAAAGGGTACTACTGGGCTACCAAGTGGTGGAGCAGTCCAAACTTCGCAACCCAACTGCTGGCAGGCAACGCTGCACGCTGACAGGCGCTTGCAGCCGCGGCTGCTGCAGCACCATCTGCTGCCGCGCCAGCCCCGGCAAAGAGTGCGAGTGCCTGGGTCCTTGCGGCTTTGGGGAGGAAGCTAAACCCTAAACCCTAAATTTACTAAACCCTGAACCCTAAACCCTAATCCCAAAAGCTAAGCAGATTCCTAAAGCTCGTCTTCCTCAAGCCCAAGAAGCGTCAAGATGAAGATCCCCTTGTGGCCCTCGATAACAAGACAACACGAGTCACTCTAGTCAAAAAAGGCTCCAAGACTTATCCCCCCCCCACCCCACACTACCCTAAACCCGAAACCCAGGGTTTCGGGTTTGGGGATGAAAGCGCACACTTCGGGTCTGCAGTGGACAAAGACCTGCTACAGCTCTTCTGGCATATACATGCCACTAAGCCCTAGAGCCTAAACAGACCCTAAACCCTATACCCGAAACCCTAAACCCTAAACCTTAGGCAATCGGGCCAATCACACCACAGTACCCCTTCAAGGTTCTTTAAGTTTCTAGACTCATATGGACCGACTTTGTGGTCCTTGAACACGAGGGCACCTCTCTTGTAGAGGGATGCACCCTAAACCCTAAACCCTAAATCCTCTAAGGCACCCTCAACCCTTCCTCGCAGCCCACCCCCCCTCCCCCTCGAGGCTTAGCCCTTTGCACCCATATGCCAAAACCCCCCATACACCCAGATACCCCTGCATACACGAACTCCTACATATACCTAAACCCTAAACCCCAAACCCTAAACCCTAAACCCCGAGAACCACCATAAAACCCTCAATTCAGGTCAGGGCTTCCACTGGCTGCTTTGACTGCAAGCGAGCATGGCCGAATTCAGGGCCACCTCATGCGCAAGGGAAGCGAGAGAAGAGAGGAGCCCCGGGGGGCATGTTTGGAGTAGCACCTGTGCCAACGATTTTCCTGGACTTCCCTTTTTGAGATTCCCGCAGTATTTCCCTTACTTCAGTTCGACGACTTGACCGGTGGGGTTTAGGGGTCAAGGGAAGCTTACGGATCTCAGTCGTTCTAAGTTACATGTGTGTTTTTGTGTTCTGTATAGGTTTACTTGCAGCTGCCCTGCTTTTAAGCCTAATTACTCTAATTCGTCATTAGCCTTCAAACTGTGGTTTAGGGAAACGTCAGACTCGAGGGATGCAGGGTCTTACCCTGAGCTTATGAGAAATACCTTAACATACCTCGGTACATGGATCCGAAGGGATCAAGATTTAGGGTGTACGAGACTTGTGGAGAGTGCTACGGTGTTAGCATTTACAGAGTTTAGGCGTCAAGGCTGCGGCCTTATGATCTGCAGAGTTTTGATTAGGGGGCTGGGGATCCCCGAAACAGATGACCAAAGCGTTCAACCTCATAACGCATGCCCTCCCTATTTCCATCAGGACTCTCAACACGCACTGGTGGACTTAAGAGAAGGGAGGGTCCAGGGTTTAGCATTTCAGAGGCATGGGGTTCGCTCTGTGCAGCCTCTCCCTTCCTCTGCCATGTGGTGTGGACATAGTCATATTGGGAAGCCCCAGTGGCTGGGTATAAGATGACCAATCGGCTCCGATCTCGTTAAAAAGAGAAAGAGAGAGAGAGAGAGAGAGAGAGAGAAAAAACAAAAAAAAACAGCAAGAAAGACGGAGAGAGACAGAGAAAAACAAAAAAAAAACGAGAGATAGAGAGAGAGAGAGAGCGTGAGAGAGAGAGAGAGAGAGCGAGCGAGCGACCGAGCGACCAACACCCCAACCAAAACAAAAATGGCGCAAACCAAGCTTCATTGCCCTGTCGTCAAGTAAATGCGGTCGCTCACATCGGGTGACGCCGCCCGAAACCCGAAACATGTAATCTGCAGCTGTAGGCTTTCACTAATAAGTAACCGAAAAGCACTATGCCGAATGATCCAACCCCAGAACACCAGACCGAGCTAAACCGTAAACCCCCCAACCCCCCAAATCCTCACAGGCTTGCCTGGTCGGCTTCCAGACTCGTTTCAGCCCACTGCTGCCTTGCTGCAGGTCTCAGGGCTTTCTGGGCGAAGCATGGGCTTTCGCCTTTAAACTTTAAGCCCTAAACCCTAAACCCCAAACCCTACAAAGGCTGAACCCTAAAGTTTCGGGTCTCGGATTGTGCGTGATTTAGGTGTTTTCTGCACTGGATATGGTTTCTGCTACCAAAATTTCCACAATCGCGCTCAGGGGGATGACAGCACCCGAGTCAGGTGCAAAAGCTCCAGCGCCAGCATCCACTGCGCCGCTGCCGCACAGACGCTCAGGACCTGGATCGCTCAGCCAGCGGCCCTAAACCCTAAACCCTAAACCCTAAACCCTAAACCCTAAACCCTAAACCCTAAACCCTAAGAGTAAAGGGCTTAAAGGCCATCTGCCAGAAGCACTTCTCTCAAGATGCCGAGATTCTACAAGTTCAGGGTGCTGGAGGATTTGGAGTCCCTCCGACAGGCTTCAAGAACGTGCGCTGATGGGTTTCGGGTTCAGTGTTTAAGTCTAAGGCAGTCCTGTGAGAACGAAGAAGCTTCAGGTCTACAGACTTGCACCGACTCGATGAACTCAGGTCTCATTGAGTAAGGGGCAAGGTGAGCGAACATGCTTAAGGGAAACCCACGTGAGCGCAAGAACTCGTTTGTGCTCCCTCTGCGCTGCGAGAAGCCCTTGCTTGTCTGCTGAGAGCCCGAAACCCCAAAAGCCTAAACCTAAATCCCCAAACCATACGAGTCCTCAGGGCCTTAGGGTATTCCTTGGGATGTGCCCTCTTATACTGACAGTCCTCAATAGGGATTATACGGTATTCCCCTTCAGCACACTAAGGCCAAGTCTGCACCCAGGGTCGTGCCATCAGGCCGCACAGCCAACTGATAGCAGAGCTGGGGAATGCGGGGTCTGGGAAGGGTTTGAGGACGTAGGGCTTGGGATGGTTTGGGACTTTAGGCTTTTGGCTTTGGGGTCCAGGGTTTGGGATTTGAAGTTTAGGTTTAGGGTTTAGGGTTTAGGATTTAGGGCAGGGGATTATGCGATAAGATGCTTCAGTTTGGAGGTTGACCTAATAGGGGTCTCCCCCAATATGCCCAAACAGTACTTCAAGAGACCCCCCGCCCTCTCCCCATCCCGAAAGAAAACCTTCGCTGGCTTTGAGCTCAAACGGTTCAGCACAACAGAATTCTGCTGGCTCACGAAGCCTGAAAAGAAGATGGTAGCCGCCCGCTTACGGCTTATCAAGCCCCGACAGTGCTTGAATCTGCTAGAGCTCCATCAAAAGACAACCTCTGAAAACACTTCCTTGATAAAAGTCCCTTAGACCCTTGATGAGAATCTTGTATATGTATATATATATATATATGTATGTGAAAAATTATATATAGATCCTGGAGGTATAAACATATAATAAGCCCCAAGCCTAGACCCAGAACCCTGAACGAAAACCAAAACCTACCCTTCGGGATACCCCGGGAGAATCTGCCTCGCCTGAGACATCTCCGCCATAAGGGCCACGGCCTCTCAGTTTCCGGGCTTTCGCTCTTCTCGAGATGACTTCTTCAGTTCAATACGAAGGTCCCTGTTAAACAGTTCAATACGAAGGTCCCTGTTAAACAAAGAGTACCATTTCTGGGTGTGCCTCGAGCCTATATCCAGGACCATGGCATTTTTGGAGAACCACGTGTTCATTTTTAAGGATATGCATGGCGATGGATGCTTTCTTGGAACTCTCGCCTTACCTAAACTCGAAAAAGCAAAAGTTCCGCAGAGCTGTTTGCTGGCCCTCCGGGGCAACGTATGCACATGACTGTGTCTTGGGGCTAGCTCTCTTGTTGATGAGAGCACAATGACATATGAATTGCCATGCTCACAAACCATCATTGCAGGGCTGCAGGAAGGGATCGAAAGGTCTTGCACCTTAGTCGTAAGCCCGGAATAACCCCAGAGCCTAAACCCTCGAACGCTCCACCCACTGTTAAAGGCACCTTCAGATGTGTGGGGCTTCGAGCTCATAAGGCTTAGGATTTTGGCTTCATCAACCTCAGGGCTCACAGGGCTGAGGAACAGCTTTAGGGAGACTTAGTCTTGGGGCTGTCATGGCCTGCTCCCAGGCGCCGGGTCGTGCCAAGGAACTCACGCCGGCGTTGAAGCTCACCTGAAACCCGGCTTGCGGGAGAGGGGGGAGAGAGCGTGCTTGGCAAAAAAGGGGTGTGCGGGGGCTCAGCGTTCAGGGTTGAGGGTTCGGATGAAGGGTCTCGGATTCCTTGCGGTGTTCCGAGTCGAGACCCCACCCCATGATCGATGCAGCCTACGCCGGTTCTTTGCTTAATGATATGGGTTGAGGCAAACCCTAGACCCTGAATCCTAAACCAACTGTCCGTGCCAATCCTTCCAGCTGAGCTCTATATACCTCCGCCCGCCTGTCGACTCTTTCCCCCGAAATTGTTAGAAACAAATGTGACACTTATACCAAAACAGTGCATCAATCAAGCCCTCAACCCCAAAGCCGAACCACCAACCCCAGACCCCAAACCCCAAATATAAACCCCTAATCCCTGAAACCACCGGCAACTCCGAAAGCTGTTGCGCTCCCAGTCGCCACATCGATTTCCGCCTATGAGGAAGCTTCGGGCCGGGATTTTCGGTTTTAGGGTTTTAGGGTTCAGGGTTTTAGGGTTTAGGGATTTAAGGTCTCAGGGTTTTGCGGGTTTGGGGGTTAGAAGGCCCAGGGTCCATTCGTCACTGAACCCATCACGAATCCATTGCTGCCTCTACCAGACACTCGGGTTGAGTTGACTTGCAGTCCTGGATTGCTTTGAAGGGTTTAGGGTGTAGGATGGTGCTCTGCTCTAAACCCTAAACCCCAACCCCAAAATCCCATTTAAACGTGGGCATGCTATCAAGTCATGTTGTTCCCGGCATCAGGGGACTATCACGATAAGGGTCTCGCGCAGTACAGCGTTTAGAGTTTAAGGTTTAGGGTTTAGGGACGACCGCAAGAGCTTCGTTCTAAGTTCAGCTCCGAAACTCACCAAGCCAAAAAGGAACTAGAATTATCAAATGATACAACAATCAAGTCCCAAGAAGACGATTCTGTTGAGAAAGCATATAATACAGTGAAGCCCCACACGCAAGCCATCTAGACTAGCCTGCTGCCCGACTTTTGAATGTTCTTGTTGCCATGGGTCTCCTGATCCTGAGGTGGTCAAGTAAAACGTTGATGATCAGAAGCGCCCTTGCTCCTAATTCAGCACTGGGGTTTAGGGTTTATAGGGCTTGAGGTTTGGGGTCTAAGGCCCATGGTGCTGTGAGCTGAGCTTGTACCCCGGACCCCGGTTATGGGCTAGTCCCTCGCATCCGTTCTAGTGACTTTGGGGGCCCAACTATCTACGACTCAGGTAGCCTTTCAAGTAAACTCAAGCACGCAGAGGAAGGAGCTCAGGACTGGGCCTTGAGGTTGTCCATGTCGCGTAGGAGCCCAAGTGCAGCAGGCCACAGCGAGCCTTGAAAGGCTCGGGCAGCTTTGTACCCTAAACCCTAAGACCCTAAAACCCGAAAACCCTAAAACCCTAAAACCCTAAAACCCTAAAACCCTAAAACCCTACAACCCTACAACCCTACAACCCTACAACCCTACAACCCTACAACCCTAAAACCCTAAAACCCTAAAACCCTAAAACCCTAAAACCCTAAAACCCTAAAACCCTAACACCCTAAAACCCTAAAACCCTAAAACCCTAAAACCCTAAAACCCTAAAACCCTAAAACCCTAAAACCCTAAAACCCTAAAACCCTAAAACCCTAAAACCCTAAAACCCTAAACCCCTAAAACCCTAAACCCAAGACTTATACCCTAAACCCAAAATCCAAAACCCTAAGCCCGAAAACCCTGAACCCTTCAACCTTTCAGCCCTGCACACAGAGGTCCTGAACCTGCGATTTCTGCGACGATGGCTCAGAGATCAGGTCTGGGCTTGTGAGTTTAGGGGGAACTTAGTGGGGCAGGGTTTGGTGGCTTCAGGTTTCGGGGGAAGGGTTTGGTGGCTTTGGGTGAAGTGGTCTGGGCGTTTGGGGTTTGAGAGCTTACAGAAGCTGAAGGGTATTCTGAGCCGTGTCGTGCTGGCGCTGGCTCTGCTGCATTCTAGCCTTGAAACGTGGAAAAGCTTCCCCTAAACCCTAAACCCTAAACCCAAAACCCTAAACCCTAAACCCTAAACCTCACGAAACTCAAAAACAGTGCACCCGAATCTCCATTTGCAAAAGTCTATTGGAGCCTTGCCTAGAGTAACCTCGTGCCTCATAAGAATCGGGGTATGTGTGTACCAATTATTAAGGCATAAGCCCTAAACCCTAAACCCTTAAACTTTGTTCTAGGTACTTCATCGGGTCTCTGGCCTTGGGGGATCTCAGGGGCCCGCAAGGTGTACATAGCTCGAAAACCTCATTCCCCTGTAGGTGTTCGGGTTTGGGTCTTGCGCTTGCGGTTTCGGTCGGGGTTTGGGGTTTGGGGTTTTGGGGGTCTCGAAGCCTGAATATCGAAAAGGCGCCCTTAGCGCACGCAGTGATGGCAACATTGCAGCAGATGGTGTCTCGCTGAGTCCTCTGTTGCGAGTTTCGGGGTGAGGGTGGGGAGGGTTGACAAGCGAGAGAGGGTTTGATTCCTGGCCGCCTTTTCACGACCCTGAACCCCAAAACCCATAAGCCCTTTTAAGCCAACAAAAAACTTTTCCAACCAGGTGGTCTCTCAAAACCGCGCATATCGGCCAACCCTAAACCTGTAACCGCGTGCTGGGTTTTGGGGTGGTTGGGGGCGGCGGGGGGAGGGGGGAGGGCCTCGGTGTTCAGCAGCATGGTAGGTTGGGGGGAGGGTGGGGAGAATAGATATGCAAGGGTTTAGTGCCTTGGGGTCTGGCAGCCTGGCGTTCATGAGCAGCTATTAGCTGGAGTTACAAGCACGATTACCACGCTTCATTGAATTACACCTGGCTAGAACTCTGTTTGAGTTTCTCATAGCCCTGCGTCTGACTGGCCAAGAACCTCCAAGTACATGAAGGCTCGGATTCTCTAAACTTGCAGAGGCACGGACACACCTGCGTGTATGTGCGTATGTATATATGTATATATGCATATAGTATATGCCTGACGCCTCAAATCAGAACATATGATAGCTGGTTCTGCCTCTCAAGCACTGAGTTCTACTGGATCCAGGGTCCTTGTACGTACTAGGCCATCATCGAATATAGGAACACTGTATGAGGCTTGGGCTGTAGAATATCTTCTAATCTCTTCCCCTTATACTAAACCCCACCCTAATTTTAAATATTGTTTTTTCCCGGACCCTCCCGGCACCCAGCCCAATTAGGGGGGGTTGAGGGCCTCCGCCCTTGGGCTTAAGGCTCACAGGATTTTCAGGGTTTAGGGCTCAAGGCTGAGAGGGATTTATTCGGGTTTAGGGCATAAGGCTAAACCTTAACTGAACTCTAGACCCCAAACCCTATAGGTCGCAGTCACTGCCACATCTCTCTCGTTTTCGGCTTTGGGGTCTAGGCTTCGGCTTCCAGGTTTTAGGGTTTAGGGCCCCCTAATGAATTTTAGAATTGCGGGCGGGGTGGGGGGGGGGTGGGTTTTAATATTAGGGGGAAGGGATTACGCAGAGCCCTCAGCTCCAAACCCTGAACCCTGAACCTTGAGGCTCTGGACGCTGTCCTGGATTCTACCATGGTACGGCAGACATCGAGGGCGGCTTGCCACTGCGATGCCTGGCAAGATTGCGCTGCTTGTTTTAAAGGCTTCCATTGTAAGCTAAGACAAAAAAAGGGTGGGCTTTATACAAAACTAAGGGTACTACTGCCGGCTAGTTAGCGAAAGCTTGTCGGAAGAAGGTCAATCCCTTTGGGCTTTGTCGGGGTTGAAGGCGCCTGCAAAGTCTAGGTTGTGGGCTAATGAGTATAGTCGAAGGGACACGCCCTTGATTTTCCCAGGACAGCAGTTGAATCTTAAACGCAGAAATAAACAAATTGGGAAGCGACCCACCGAACCTTTTGGGGTTCACGGGGTGCTGCATCCATGGATGCCCCTCAGGACCCAAACCTGTCCAACCCCACGTTGTACCGATATTCCCCATCCTTGTTGCATGCACTGCCCACAGTGCTGTAGGAGATGGCCGTGGCCTCACCGCAGCAACTGGGGGGTTGACGAAAATAGGGGACCCCCAATATAGATCCCCAAATGGTAGGATGCCCTTATCACATAAGGTACTGTTCCCCCCCCCCCCTTGAGCTGTTTTGGCAGAAGATTTCAGTTACCTTTCCGGATGCGTTGGCTTGGAGTGGCTTGCCTCGACTTCAAATTCGGGCTTGCTCTTGGCCTAGCATGTCGTTGAGGCGAACGTTTATCACATTGTTGTTGCTACTGGCTTCTGCGATGATGAACAGGCCTACGCTACTTCCTCTCAATTGAACTGCTGGAGCATCTTCTGTGAAAACTTCCCTGAGCAAGCAGGCCGTTCACGAATCAGCCAAAGGAACTTTGCCAGCCTCGGATTATGCAACCAACCCAACGGCTCAAGGCATTGGGTGACATCTGGCGGTTTACGAACATAAGGGAGCCCTAACATAGAGTAGAATTCCCTTATAATATAATAAGGACCCGAATAAGGTACCCCTATTTTCGGAAACCCCCATCTGTCGAAATTCGTACTACTCAATCTTGTGCTTCCTCTACACGGCCATGCGCCCCTTCAACACGGATCCCTGAGCCCTCTGGGTTTTTTGAGGTTCCAGAGCACAAGCCCAACACTTCAACTTTAGAGGACTTAGGGTTTAGGGTTTAGGGTTTAGGGTTTAGGGCTTAAATCCCAAACCCTAACATCCGAAAACACTCACTCCGGGTCGCTTGGGGCCTCCAGGCAGCAGGCCGAAAGGGCCTGATGTCAGCATGGGATCCCTTTAGGGCTTAGGGTTTCGGGCAATTGAAGCCCGAAACCGAGCTTAGGGTTGAGAGCTGTAAGCTAGAAAACCAACCTCTTACGGGACCGGCACCAGATCGTGAACCCCCAGCTGGCCCACACTGTCAGATTTGGCCAAGCAGATGGAAGAGGAGCTCGAATCTCTTGCTGCTGCCTTGGACAGTCCCTGGACCCGAATCCCTGTTCCTTCACGAAGCAGTCTTGTGTTTGGGTCTGGGGCTTAGGGTTCATAGGGTTGTTGCCCTGGAAGCAACGGTTCATAGGGTTGGTGCCCTGGAAGCAACAAGGGGGTGTAGAGTTTCACCGCCATGGAATGCCCTCAACTCTAAACCCAGACAATGTCTTGCCGACGAGTGTCCAAACATTTAGATGAAGACACACATAAATACAAGCGAATTTACTAACAGTCAAGCTTATGTATACAATATGCACACATGCATCTGTTTACATGTACATCTATGCTTGCATCTGTGTGTGTTTATACTTCTATACATACATATATATATATATATACGTATATACGAAAGGGAGGTTTCCTGAACCCTAAACCCTAACCCCTAAACCCTAACCCCCCCCCCCCCCCCCATTTCCTTCCAAGCTCGCCTGCAGGTGGTGGAGGGCCAACTCCCAGTGGCCAAGACGGTCGCATGCGCTGAGCCTCGGCAAGGCTCTCTTCTGTAAAGCTGCTATTGAGAGGCTACCCGAAGACCGACCCTAAAGCCTGAACCCCCTGAACCCTAAATCCCTAAACCCTGAAGGTTTCATGGCCTTTAGGAGGTTTTTTTGGGGGTCAAGGTTGGCGCCTTCGAACCCTAAGAAAGACGTTCACGCCCAAATCAGATCCTCTTAAACCCAACCAGCTCTGGGTTTCGGATGTGAGTTCAGGGCTCAAGGGCTTCAGGGTGTGCGGTGTTGGATTGAGGGTTTCGGGGTCGCAGTCGGGGTTCAGGGTGTTCAGTAATTTTGAGTTCGGGGGGAGATGGGTCTTATAGGGTTTAAGGGGTTTACAAGGGCAAGGCTTCGGCTGTGAAAAGCTACAGAAAAATGTTCAACGGCTTGGGGAACGTGCCTGGTCCAAGCTACCATCGCACGGCTTCTCCCACCCCACACCGAAAAAGGGCAGCTCGAGATATCCTAACCCATTCCGATTCAGGTTTAGGGTTCGGGGTTCACGGTTTTCGTTTTGGGTGCCATAGCCATATATCCATTAAACCCTAACCCTAAATCCTAAACTCTAAACCCTAAATCCTAAACCCTAAACCCTAAACCCCAAATGGCTGTGTGCAGTCGACAGGCAGCTGATTGCGGTGCACCACGTTGGTTTCGAAGCTCGCTGCCTTCCAAGCAAAGAGCTCAGGGCTCACGCTATGAAGCTTTCCCAGACCCAGGAGTAACCTAGGAACAAAAAAGGTAGCCTTTTTTGGTCTTAAGGGAATTGTAAGGGAACCCCCCGAAAAAAAAAAAAGGAAGAAAGGGCCGACTCCGGGTCCTAGCTGCAGGGCTTGCAAAAGGTTTAGGCGTAACACCACCATCATTTAGAGCATCAGGCTGTGGGGCGACTTGAGTCGGGAGCTCTTAGCCACCCTTCTTCTTCCCAACCATCTTTTTCAGGGCTCCCAAAGCCCCAAACCCAACCTCCGAACCTCCGCCCGGAACCCCCCCTCCCCCCCCCCCCCCCCCCCCCCTCCCCCCCCCAAACAAAACACCTTAAACAACAGTACCACGAAGGGGATCCCCCCCCCCCCCCCCCCCCCCCCCCCAAAAAAAAAAAAAAAAAAAAAACCTTGAAAAAACAGTACCACGAAGGGGATCCTGTAGGCAAAGGCTTGCCGGTGGGTGTTTTTGTCCAATGATGTCTGCTCTTCGCCGCTTCGCCCCCCAGATTTTCAAACAAAAAAAATGACGGTTCGACGCTGGGTGCTAAACCCTAAACCCTAAACCCAAAACCCAAAACCCTAAACCCTAAACCCTAAACCCTAAACCTGACATGTAGTAGGGCTCGGGGACTCGGGGATGAGGGGAATCAGAGGGTTTTAGGGTTTGGGGGGTTTTAGGGTTATTCAACCGCCGGGTTTAGATTTAGTTCCGGATTTCGGGTGCTGCTAGCCTTGGGTAACTCTAATACCAAGTCATTCGAGCACGAAGTTCGCTTTGTTCCTGTGGCTCTGGCTGTGAGAAGCTTCCTGCCTCCATGGCAGAGATCATGTCCTCACAGGTCGATGCATCGAGATCTATGCTCAGAGTTGAGGTTGCTTGTGAGCTCAGGGTTCTAGGGCCACGACAGGGAGGCTGCACCTGCTTCTCCCAAGAGCCCCTGAAACCTGAAAGGCCAGACCCAGCCGCTACCGAAGCCGACGACTCATGCAAGGGTACAGAGTGACATGCCTTGGGGTTTACAATTTTAGGGTGCACGGCTTAGGTTTGTCCTCGGGGGATCAGGATTCGGCCCTAGGACGGGGGCAAGTGGCCCCTAGATCGATTTTAGCGCCTGTACGAAAGACAACCGGATCACTTGGCCACTGTTGGTGTCGATGTGAACCAGGCTCCAAGTTGCTCCGAAACCCTGACCCTAAACCCTATAAACCCTAAACCCAAAGCCCCCATACACCCTACAACCCGAAACAAGCGCCAGCGCGTTGCCGCAACCAAGCAGCAAAAACCAAGTCGGGCCGTCTTGCGGCAGCCAAAGGGCGTAGCAGGGCCTGGTGACCGCCAGGGAACCCAGAAACCACGGAGCAACACCCACTATGCGGACCAAGCAGTTCCTAGAGAAGACTTGGGGGGCCCATGTACATGGAATTTGGTACATGGATACCTTTAAGGAAAAGCTCAGGCTTCAAAGTTGACGTCTTCCGAGGAATCTATAGTGATTATCGTACATCCATGCATACCCCATATTGGATATCAAAAGGGGCCGAAAAATCAAATCAAACCCGTAAGCCCTAAACCCTCAAGACAAACGAAATAGAAATTTGTATGTGGTATCATTCTGAATTTTCCAAAATATTTTTCAGAACCGCTGACAAGCAGAGTTGAAGTAAATTACTCCAAAGCATCTGGGGCCTTCCCACCCGGAGGAAAGGAAGTTAAATATACAAGCCGGAGAAAAACTTTATCACAAAAACTTCATTCAAAACTTCGCACGGAACTTTCGCACAAAACATTTCACTCACAACTTGCGCACAAAACGGCTCGCTCGAAACTTTCGCACAAGTCGTTTCGCCCAAAACTGTCGCACAAAACGATTCGCTCAAAACGACTCGCTCAACACTTTCACACAAAACGTTTCACCAACAACCTTCGCTGGCGTGTTGGCGACAAGCTCCAGCAAGTCCCTGTCCGAGGAAAAAGAATACCACGTCCCCATAAGCCCTCGTCCTCCCGAAAAAGAGCGTGCGGAGAAACACCCAAAAGTCCGGACCGCCCCACCGGCCCCGAAAAAAGGCACAACAATAGGATCCCAGGAGACTTTTTCAAAAACCACGGAACAATGTGGCCTGGCAAAAGCGTACGGAACCATTTAAGCCCTCGTCCTCCCGAAAAAAAGCGCCCGCAAAACTCAGGAGACACTTCAAACAAATTGTTTGGCCTCGCTGCGGAAAATTGGTTTGCCCCGGACCAAGAGGCCTGTTGGCCAAAAAGCCCCTGCCGGTCAGAAGCCCCCCAAAGCGCCCGAAAATCCCGACAGGTCCGAAAAAAACTCAAAGACACCCAAAGTCCGGACCGCCCCACCGGCCCCACAAAAAAGGTACAACAATAGGATCCAAAACAAAAAACTCGGGGTCAACACTTTCGGTCACAACGTTTCGGTCAAAACGTTTCGGTCAAAACTTTTTGGGACCCAAACCCTAAACAGTTTCTATAAACCCTAAACGCTAAACCCTAAACCCGAAACCCTAAACCCCATTTGCAGGTTCAGGTGCGGTGATCTTGTGGGGAGTCAGCGGCGCTGGCAAGGCATCTGGGTGGCCGCAAGACCAAACCGACGCTCTCTTGGTTGAAGGGTCTACAAGGGACCCTACACCCTGAACCCTGCCCACTAAACCATACTAAACCATACTAAACCCTACTAAACCCTACTAAACCCTACTAAACCCTACTAGACCCTAAACCCCTACTAAACCCTACACCCTACACCCTACACCCTACACCCTAAACCCTAAACCCTAAACTCTAAACCCTAAACCCTCAACCCTAAACCCTCACCCTAAACCTAAACCCTAAACCTAAACCCTATACCAGAAAACCCCGCTTTAGGGTCCACAAAGTTGCCCAAAAAGGAGAAAAAGGGGAGCCCTGTCTTGTAAAGGTGTGCACTGCAGAGGGATCCCAACAACCCCCGAACAAAGGCGACAAAGAGCGCTGCTGGGCATCCCGGCTCAGGGTTCGGGGCATGGAGCAAGGGGTGTAGAGTTGAAGGTCTAGGGTTTAGGAATAGTTCAGGGTTTAGGGTTTAGGGTTTAGGGTTTAGGGTTTAGGGTTCCGCTTCCAGGCTTGTAGCGTTTTTGCACAAGACGTCATTGGGTTGCAAGCCGTTAGGGTTGGTGTTGATTGTGCTGAACAGGAAACAGGGTTTCGCACCGGGGCCTGAGCAATGAAGAATCCAGAGGTTGCTTAAACCCTCCCTAAACCCTAAACCCCAAACCCTAAACCCTAAACCCTAAACCTCAAACCCTACACCCTAAAACTAAACCCTACACCCTAAACTTTTACCAACCTGAAATGAGGCTCCAAGAGGGCCTGTTGAAGAGTTGCTCGGAATGAGGTGATCGCAGGGTTGGGGGCCGGTAGGGTTTATCGGTGGGTCGTATAGGATGCTCGAGACCCTTAGACCCTCCGAACTCGAAACTCTGAAGCCCTCAAAACCCTCCGACCCTTTCCTCCGCCAAGTCCCAGGGTGTTCTCTTGCCCTCAAAACCTTGCAAGTGTAAAGCTACGACCCTAAACCCAAAGCCCGACCAAAAACCTGGGTCCTAACCCACCCCCCCAAAATTCAACGGACAGGGTGCCGACCGCACGCCCCACTGCATCCGCGGAGTGGCCAGGAGGCTGTTGCAGCAACGCATGGGCCACAGCCTTTGGTAGCTTTAGGGTTTCGGGCTTAAGGATAGAAACCCTGTAACCCTAAACCCTAATCCCTATAGGGTAACCGGTGGACGAGTTTGGATGGAGGGTGTTTAGTCCCAGGAGGGGTTAGGCCTCTGGTTGGAGGCTCTCAGCCTCACCCTAATCGTAAACCCTAAACCCCAAACGCGCCTTAAACCCTGAAACCTTGACCTTAAAAACCCTGAACCGGAAGCCTAGAAAGTCCCAATGTCACTGCAAAAGCGGTAGACCGGTTATGGGCCCAAGGTTTTGGGATTGCGGGTGGGGTAAGGGGGCTAGGCTTAGGGTTCAGTTTAAGGGCGAAGCACGGAGTTTCAGGATTGTGGGTTAAGGGCTTAGGGCTTAAGCGTTACGACTTCGAGGCTGGAGGGAGTAGGGTGTACAGAGTCAGAAACCCCACGTGGAAAGTGGAATCACTACGGGGCGTTGAAGGTTTGTAGAGAAGTGAATGCGTCCTCAGATCTACGAGTTTTCAAAGAAACCCACAGCAATTCAATCGGGTAAACCCTAAACCCTAAACCCTTAACCCTTAAACCCTAAACCCTAAACCCTAAACTTGGGCTTGAAGACCTGAGGCATATGGTGAGGAAAATTTAGTGCCCGGGGATGTACGTAAATATGAATATAGCTATACATGTAAATAGAAATAGAAATAGAAGAAAAAATAGAAATAGAAATAGAAATATCAATGTGCATACACATGCATTTGTGTGTGTATGTATGTATGTATGTATGTATGTATGTATGTATGTGTGTGTGTGTGTGTGTGTGTGTGTGTGTGTGTGTGTGCGTGTGTGCGTGTGTGCGTATGTGCGTATGTGTGTATGTGTGTATGTGTGTGTATGTATGAAAGAATGTATGTATGAATGTATGAATGTATGAATGTATGAATGTATGAATGTATGAATGTATGAATGTATGAATGTATGAATGTATGAATGTATGAATGTATGAATGTATGAATGTATGAATGTATGAATGTATGAATGTATGAATGTATGAATGTATGAATGTATGTATGTAGGTATGTAGGCATGTATGTATGTATGCATGCATGCATGCATGTATGTATGTATGTAGCGTTTATAGTGTGTATCGTGCGGACGCATGGACCTGTATTCTGGCCTCCATTATCGGCCGCGGGCGTCGCGAAGTCGTTCGTTGGCACAGAGGGAGCTTACAGCAGCTATGTGTCACAAAGGCTGTTCCGGCTGTGTCTTCTTATTCTTCGTAGCTTCATGAATCTTCTTGATTGCATGGCTCTTGTGGGGGGATAACTGAAGCAATTTCGAAAAGGACTCAAGACAACCTGAGCTACACTCTGCGGCATGGAAGGGTTTGGGCGTAGGCCGTATAGGGCGTATAGGGTATAGGCTTCAGTTCATTTGTGGGAGATGTAGGGTCAACCACCCTGGGGTTGCAGGGGAGGACCCCTGCCACCCACCAGAAGAAACAAATCTAAATGACTTGAAAACACAGAAGTACGTGAAGCAATGAAAAAAAACATAAAATCTAGTGACAGGGGTAGGGTCTACGAAAGCCGCTGCTCTGTCTCCGCCTTTCGGCTGCACCTGGGAAACCTTTATATATCCCTCCCGAACAAGAAAACAACAAACCAAAAAGAGGAAGTGCACCAACTTTTGGTCTGCATTGCCCTTTTTAAGATCAAAAGGTTACTCAAGAACCAGAGGGAAAAGCTAAACAAAGGACATCACTTAGGAGCTTGGGGATCCTTGCCTGTTTAGAACTTAGAGGTTTAAGAGTACTGTGCAGACTCCCCTTCAGCTTCACACTGGCTGAGTCCCCTAAACCCTAAACCGTAAACCGTAAACCCTAAACCCTAAACCCTAAGCGTGTTTGGGGGCAAGGGCCTTAGTAGTTGTCACCTATATCTCCCACAGGCCGGAACGCAAGACCCTGCAGGCACAAACCTCAACCCCCCCCCCTCTCCTCCCCGTCAAACGCAGAAATACATGGCAAGAAGGTTTGCACGGTGAGGATGTACGGCTTGGTAGTTGGCGCTAAACCCTAAACCCTAATCCCCAAACTTTAAACCCTCGGACTCCCTAAACACGATACATCCGAAA